TGAGGTCAAAGCATGTTATTTCAGAAGTCGGCCACTTTGTTCAATCACTTGGTATTTACTAAGAAGACCTGTAGATAAACACAGGTGCACCACTTTGTGGGTCAGGCAGCAGCCAAAACGCAATCGTCCACTGATGAGTGCAATTTTCTGCCTCCACAAAGGATGAATTCATAGGCTGCAGGTGGAAAGAACTGAGCGTTGAGGACAATGCAAGGACAGTGTTTTACATCCGGGTGTGTGGGAAGTAATCAGTGCAGAAAGGGAGTTATTTCACCCTCAGCTGTTTTTTTTGTTGCAAATGCAGTAACAGTTTTGTTATGTCTAAAATGCAGTTGTTTAACTTAAGGTGTATTTGACTCACCACTTGTTATGCCTAGACTCAACAACATTTAGTGGGTACTAAACTACTTTGGGCACAAATTGTCTAAAAAACAACAGGAAACAGAGGGTGGCTGAGAGAAAGCTCTTTCCACATGTCAAAATGTCAGTCATAGGTTGATTAGCCTCCACCTTTGTTTCATGGGTGGAGGTAAGCACGAGGCTCACCTCTGCATAACATCACACAATGGAAAGTGACTATAAACACAACTTGTCTAAACTCATATATCACCATGTTTATTTTATGTCCACATCATCAAAGCTGCAGAAACCCAATCAAGAAAAATAATAGTCTGTACCCTCTCAGAAACAAAAGCATCAACCCCTGGCAGCTGGGGGGCGACGCGAATGCAATGTTTTTGACCCAACAGCAACCTCTGAAATGTGCGACCCAAATTGGATGGAAAGTATATTAACATTTGGTTTCTTCATAAAAAGCTTTCACACTAAAACCAATAACACCCAAACAATGGCAGCCTTGTCAGGGCCGTAGCACCATTGAGGATGCCGAGGTCAAGTCCTCGCTTTTTCTTGGAATTAATTTTAGCAATAAGGGATGTTTATATCCTGCAATTAAAAAGGTAACGTGTGGTTGGTATGAATGGGAGTTTCACCTATATTTAGATTCAATATATTTGCACTTTACTACTCTAAAGGAAAAAGGGAGTCACTATTTCCAGACAAATGTCATTCCTGGCAATGCAAAGAAGCTGTTTAAATCAAGTTACAGAGAAGACTAAATATCATGAAAGATTAAAATAAGTAAAACATGTTTGTTATGTTTTGCTGCTGCTCAGAGTTTTTTTAAAGGACACATTACCTCACTATCTCTAAAATCCTGGCTACAGCCCTAACACCTCATTGGGCTTTGTGTTTAAAAAGAATCCCATCAATCTGGGGTGTGGATGCATAACTAACCCAAAACAATGCAGTTTATTTTCTTCAGTATTTAATAGTACCTACCAACAACATGGGAACATCACCCATTGGCACACTGCATGACAAAGTGACTTTTCTATATTTCAAACACAAGAAGTTGATAAGAAAAAAAGGAGAAGCCAAATTTCACAAAACCAGTCTAGAGCACAGAGAAAGCTCTGTGGCTGCTGTGTCAGTTATTAAATGTCAGGTAACTGAAAAACAAACACACACGCACACACAGACCTCAGGAAATCCCCAACCTGACAAGCATTCAAATTAATATATAAATCAACATCAGTGTCTCTTAGACTCTTATCAGTCTGGAGATCAAAACATTAGAGCCAATAAAACCACAAGCTCCAATACTACCGTTTTTTGATATAGTTTAGTTTGAAAAATCATTTAGATATAGTTTCCTCAATGCTGAAAGGGAGAAATCCTTTAAAATGACCCAAAGTGGAAACATGTGCTTTCAAATAATCCTGAATAATCCTTTGGATTAATAAACTGTACACTCTGTCTCTCCAGTGGAAGCAGAGCAGCAGCAGAGATACAGCCATCTCCGCCCAGCTGGAAAACACAGACTATGATGACCTACATTATTGTAAAGTGGGCACAGGCTCCAGAGACCTCGAGCTGGAATCTCAGCAGCCCAGCCTGCACCGGCTTCAAGGCCCGGGTCTATATAAGCAGACAAAAGAGTCCCAACCTACATGCACAGAGGACTGCATGTTAAACACAGGGGCTGCAGATTAGCGCTGTGTTCCTGCAGGGCCCTCCCTCTGTTGCCTGCCTTTGATATGTGGCACAACCTGCACCTCCAGGGGCAAGGCAGACTCAAGGGGAATGTTAAATGGTCCTTCCCTTTGAGATGAAATGTTCAATATGAATCATTGATGATGCCTCCCCCCCACACAATTTCCCAATTCTTATACCTTCCGGCTAAATTATCAACCAGCACAAATGTTATGCTCTCATTAGGGGCACCTCTGCTAATTTAAGGCTAATACATCGTAAATTAGTTTAATCATTTGTCGATGAGCACAGAGAGGGGTGTGCCCTTAGCTGGCTATGGGAAAGAGGAATTGTTGTAAAAGTGGATATTATGTTGCACACTATTTTTCTTTTAATGTCTCTGTTATATTATCATGTGTACGGGCAGGGGTTTAGATGTCTCTCCTAATTTGTACCTAAGGTTTATGCATCATTAGATGTGCAGAAAATGGCTCCGATAGCTGAGCCCTGCCCAGAACCCTAAGCACATTAATCCAATACTTTTCTGTTTGGTGACGAGCATCTGACCTCATCAAGCAACCATGACCTAACACATCACATCACAGCAGCACTGGACCACTTTGCAGCATAGAGCTTTATCTATATATATATATAAGTAGGTACATGTTGTAACGGTCACTAAAGTGATCCATACTTGCTTCGATGCATTACATACAGTTTATATAAGCTTTTCTCCCTCCCTCAAACAAAGTGGGCTGTCCCTTTTTCTCCATGACAGCTGCACTCACTGTCTCTCCTACAGGGGCGGGTCTAACGATAGAGCGTAGGGAGGTGTGACAGAGCACGCGGTCTGATTGGTCAAAGAAGCTTGACAGCCATCATGAACATCCAATTAAAGCAGCTCATAAGTGAGGCCGAACATGTCCAACGTTGGCGCTGTGGTGCGTAATGGGCACATCTAGAGGAATAGATGTGTATTAATCAACTATAGCTGTGGTTTTGATGTTGAGTTATATTAGGTAATGTCAGAATATACGATGTCATCTCAATTAAACATGTATAAGGTGAATGTATTGACTGTAACGTGACGTCTTTAGACAGGGTAAAAGAGGACTTTTGCGCCGCCGTGTCACACATCTGCAAAAGGCTCAACGACACGGAATCAGACCTACCCATCCCCCGTTATCTTGTATCCAGCTGCTCAGAGGTCCGTTTAAATACTCTGTCATCCACTCAGCGATGTTGTCCACCTGCGATGTCATCTCCTGCTTGGAGGCGCACTCGACACACACCGTGCCCCCGAACTCGAAGAAAGCGATAATCCGGCCCCAGTTCACCCCGTCCCGGAACAGTTCGTCTATCACCTCGGAGAATCTCCTCTGCGCCGTGGTGGAGGTGAGATAGAGCTGCCGAGACATCTCCGTGAAGTCCGGCTGGTACAGTCTCTCAAGTTCGTCCCCAGCCTCCCGCAGGACTCTGTGGATCTCGACGGCCGGGTCGGGCTGGGGGATCCGTCTGCACAGGGGGGTGCTCTCGCTGTCAGGCCCGGTGCTGGCTTCACGGCACCGGCGGACCAAAGTCGGTGCAGGGACAACTATCGACCCATTATTATCAGCCTCTTCATCCCGGACATCATCGAAGCCAAACGCGAAGCCCCGTTTTGAGAGTTTATGGCAGATATACTTCTCCACAATGTTGCGATTACACTCGTTCGCCATTCCGTCTTAATTTGGCACTTTCTACGGGCAGAGGTTGTCCTAAAATAAATACATTGTAATCGAATATTTGCACTGTACAATGCACAGCACAAGCTCACCCAAAACTATAGGTTGTGTTAAAAAAGAAGCAATGCAACGAGTAATCCCCACACAGGGAGAAAATGCTTCGCGAGTTGAAGGAAATCACTTAATCAAAACTGCGCAGGAAAAAACGTTTGAAAAGTTAAAACATAGTGAGTACGTGTCAGAAGCAGTCTTCATTTCCCGAATCCTTAGGAGAGACGTTGGCGACCTTCTCTTTGCATTGAAATCCAATATGCGGAAGAGGTTGGAGTGGTGCTGATCTATTCCTGTGCACCAGACGCTGATGTGTTGCGAATAAAAACATGAATGAGGGCCAAAGTTGTTCGCGCCGGAAGGGGCTTCAAACACCGCGAACTATTTTAGCAGCGTTTACGCACAACCAGGCGCAGGACTGTGAGCCAGACAAGGTCGGACTGACTCCTCTTACACGATTGCTCCACATATCGTCCGCAGAAGCTCCCTGCTCACCGCCAGTGATGCTAGTGAGGTATTCCTGACGTCAGCTACGCACGTAATTCCTTTGGCTGCGCTCGGAGACTCCTAGTGCAAGTGAACTGCACTAAAAATCATGAATAGCCATTATTCTGGTGATTGCATGTGCAAAGCATAATTTAAACGACTTAAATCCACTCAAATCTAAACTGACACTGCTTTCATTTAGATCCAAACCAATTTGTTTTCAAGAAAAGCTCTAAGAGGATCCTAGTTAATTCATGAGGAGCAGTCAGACATGCCTTGCTGCTTTGATGTGGTCCGGCCACCCCCTTGTGGATGGAGATCTAACCTTGCACTACACAATTGATGTACCTGTATGCAATTTCCCTGTGTTCTTTTGATTCCCTACCTAGTCTCCTCTATCTGTCCAGCATGTCTTCTCATTCTCTGAAGGGACAAACAAAGCATCCACAATCCTGTGTTCTGTAAATCTGAGAGATGCTGCTCTGGAAAGTTTCCTCATGGAAGATTCAAATCTAATTTCCTCAAACAGAATACTTACATTCCCACAGGCCACGAACCCTTCTGAAAAACCCAGGTCAGCGATATGGTATTGAGAAAGCCAAAGACGTCTGCAGCTATGAAAAGTAAATAGTTAATGGTTGTGAACTTGTGACAAAGAATGAAATCAAAAGCAATTTAAGAAACTGAAAGATTAAGACTAGGAAATAGATTTTTTTTCACAGGTATTTATTTAGTTTGTCATGTAAGAAAATAAGACAAAGAAACGTTCCACTTCTCACATTTTCTTTCATGGCACACAAGGTGAAGGTGTTAGTTAAGTTTTTTGGCAGAAGAAAAAATCAAGAGGGAAAAAAAAGAGAAAATAAATGTGCATTATGATTTTTACGTTTTATACTCATATTGGGTATCTGATGATGACACCATTAAATAAGGGCTAACTAGCTTGACGGTTACATAACATAAATCTTGACGGTTACATAACATAAATCTTGACTCTATGTTCCAACATATTGTAAGCATAGGCATAGCTCATAGGTTAAAACAAAACTGCTTTTATATGGGCTACATGTTCTATTAACGATGTCTTGCTACCTTAATGTAAAAGACAACCTTTGAAAGCAATAAATGTTCAATTGCGAAAAGCTCGAGTGCAGGAGAGCATGCCGTTAACCAATTTCCAATGAGAACATCATCAAACATGAGTCATCCATTCTCACTTTCATAACTTGGATTTCTGCCAGGCTTCTTTTTTTGTCATACAAAGACTGGAAATGGAGAAAATACACAAGAACAGTTGGCATTTTACAGTGAAAGTACTAAAGATAACGTAATAAATGAACTGGTAAACCACATGTGGGTTGATCCACATAGTTCTGTGGACAGGTGCATTCTTATCGCATTAGCTTTTCAGTAGCATATCTTAAGGCTGGGAATGGGTCCCCACACTGCACCACAGCTTTAACAATCTAACTCACATCAACGAAGCAGCAACATCAGAAAAATCTCAAACAAATGCATTGCATCTACAGAAATTGTCTCAACACATTTTGGCATTCAAATATTGGTGTATTTAAAAACATGTTCTGATTTGTATGCTTTGTTATAAAGTACATTCTCCCCGTTTGTGATGGACAGAAGAAGACTTGCAAGAGTCAACACTGTACTTTTCTCCCTCTATATGCAAAACATATGGAACCACATGTGGTGAATACAAGGTTGTTCAAGGAGGGAATGAATATTGTCATTTAGGGAGCTGCAGAGCCCCAACTGTGCATGACAGAGTGACAGCAGGTCAAAATCAGAAAGACAAGGATAACACTTCCCTGCTAGTCCCTCTGCTATTTCGGCCTTTTTGTAAAACAAATCTCTAGCGCCCTCACTAGACCTACAGGGACATGACTCGACCTGCAAGTCTTGCCCGGCCCTGACTGACACCGCCCCGACAAATGATGCATCCCACTTGGATGGGGGGCTGAATATGTGCACTGACACATTTCATGTAATAATGACATGCTTCCTTTCACATAATTCATGAGAACATGTGTATTAAACTCTGGTCATATTCACAGGTGAAGAGTGACATTACTAGTGCTGGCCCTGTTGCCTTTTAACGTGTTTATGTCATGGCTTCAACCAGTAGTACCTGCTTTCCTTTCTCAATGATTAAGATAGGATGCCAAGGAAAATAATTTGGTGCGTTTATTCCAGAGACGATACAATTGAATGGCTTTTTCCCCCCCGGGGGTTTGGCTCAGTCACAGCTAACCCAAAACACACACACAATCATGCACCCAAATATATATTATCCCAAAAAACTACATCTGAAATGTTGAAATATTATTTGTTTCTAGAAATTATGTTTTTGTATTAGTAAAATTTCAAAACACATCACGCATTTTCTCTCTCTTTCTCGCGCTCTCTCTGATATCGCTGCAGAGTGCTCTTGTCTCTCAATCTAAACTTGGTTCAGACAAAACACAGAGGGTATCAACCTGGTTTTAAACACAGAGGTAAAGTGCTTTGCCTGCAAAGACTTTTGGTATGAAAAGGTAGAGAATAAGGGCCTATTTAGACCAAACTGAGATATTCTAACATGTGGACCTTCCTTTGTAATACATGAAATGTGAAGATAAAAGCTGGGAGTTACCATCCTGGTTTTCACAATAACCCCTGGTGGGAGGGATTTGTTTTTGTTTTTTGGCACAACCGGTCTGACAGACGGTGTGTTGACTTTCCTCTTTGTGTGAAAAAAACAAACAAAAAACAGCACTGTGCAAGTGGAGGCCTGACATCTAGTGAATGGTTCAAAAAGCCTGCCTACTTTAGAACAGGGCTGTGGGATGTTTAGTCTGCCCCCATTCCCTTAAAGTAAGGCTGCTCCCTGACAAAGAAGCAGGTGGACTATTAAACTGAAAAGTCACTGGAATGCTCAGAGAGGATAGAATAATGAGAATGACTGAAGTCTATGGAGGAGTTGTGTAACTGGACAAGCAAATAGTAAACATCTGCCACTCTAAATCATATCTGCTGATATCAGAAGTACACTCAAAGCCTGACCTTTCCTCCACCTACGGTTGTGCACTTGTACAGCTGGAGGAGGGGAGGGGATGGGGGGGTGGAGGAGGAGGGGCATTGAGCTGTGAATAAGGTAAGGCTGCTGTCACTCCCTCTTGTCAGCTGCTTTCGACTGCTCCCTCTGAATCATGCAGCGGCGAACAATACTATCAAAACTCCCCAGGTAGAAGAGGGCGATGGTCCGAAATAACCCCATGGTAACAATCTGTGAACAGAAGATAAATGGACTTTAGAATTTGAAACTTGCACAATATTAACAGCACCACTCCAGTCAACGTGACAACATGATGTCCATGGCTTTACCTGCTGGAGACCTTCTGTGATGGAGGTGACAGGTGACATCCCACAGGTGAGGGCAGATAACATGTAGCCGTCGGGTCCCACAGAGCAGTTGAAGTTCCCCTGCTGCAAGAGCAAAGAAGATAAGGGACAGGCAGATACATCAACAACAGATTATCCATGCACTGGACAAGAAACATGGTGGGTTAGTGGCAAGTGAAATGTATTTCTTACCACTGCATCCCGAACAATGATTTTGGCCACTTGGTCTGGTTGACACACTCCAGAGGTTTCAGAGATTAATGTGGTCTCTAGAGGCTAGCAGAGTAAAAAAGGAAAGGAATATGCTTTAAATAGAGCAGAATGGGAAATGAATTATGTAAATGTTTTTTTGTTTAAAGAAATATTTACCTTGGACTTATTTTCCTCAGCCAATCCTGGAGTGTCAGTGTCAGGGGGGTAGGCCACAGTCACATAGATGTTGTAAGGCTTTATCTGGAGTAGAAGAAAAGCAACACTCACTGAACAATATGTCTTACCATTTGACATTGATGATAAACTACAACAACAAAAAGGCAATACTGTCAAGTACAAGTGCCCCCTTTTGATAGATTGGGTCTCACATCAGCACAAGCAACTCAGCAGCAAAGTGGTCAGAAAATATAATTAGCCAATTATTTTAACTATTGTAAAAGTGCTTTGAGTTGCAGCATGTTGCCTTGGTGTACACCTGTGCAAATCTGTATTTGTTCAAGCGTACAAAAACTCACCTCCATCTGCAGAGACTCAGCTAAGCCACGCAGGGCAAACTTGGATGGGGAGTAGGCAGTGTATCCAAACAGGCCGATCTGGCCGGCTTGGGAGGACACGAACAAGATGCGGCCCATTCTCCGCTCCTTCATCGTGGTTATGACAGCCCGCGTTGGGTAAACGCTGCCAAGGTAATTCACTTCCATCAATTTCTGTTGGAAGAGGCCACAATTCACTCATATTATAACACGGTTGGTCCTGTAGATGTAGATTAAGTCGATTTTTGTAAAAAAACACATTACATCCCATTGGTGTGGTAGGGAATTGTTTTTTGTATGTATATTAACAGAACAAAACTGGTAGTATGGCTATATGTAACTATTAGTATTGTTAGTAAGTGTGTTAAATAGAGACTGCACTGACCTCACCACCTTCAAAAAAACCGTACAAAAACTCGCCTCTTCAAACTGGCTTTTACCGTGTGATTGTTGTTTTATTGCTCGATTTTAATGTGATTTAATTGTTGTTCTTTTTTTGTTTTTAATACCTCTGTAAAGCGACTTTGAGCACCTGTAAAAGCACTTACAAAATAAATGTATTATTATTATTATAATTCTCATAATAACTTGGAAAGTTGTGGCCCTATTCACAAACTATATTCTTTTTTTAACACTTCTTAAATCAGTAGCTTATTGTCTTAACATAAACATCATGGCCGTGTCTTGGCCTCAGTCCGAGGTACCTACTTTGAAACGGTCCACTTCCATGTCCTCAAACTTTCCGGAAATGGATAAACCAGCGCAGTTCACCAACATATCGACGGGGCCGAGCTTCTCTTGAGCCTGCACGAAAGGAAAAATACACTTAAGCACTGAATTATTAAAAGAAACCCAAGATGTTCCTCTGTTGCTAAGAGAGTAACGTTACCTGTTTTATCACACTTTCCACCTGGCTGTAATCACTCGAAACATCCACTGATATGCAGAGCACCACCTGAGTAAGGAAATTAAACATTATCATATGCAATGTAATGCAAAATGGCATCAACTATTATGCACTTTATAAACATGTATACTGTACAGTCATAGAAGATGCTTTAAAACAATATCTAACAGTTACAACTATCATTGAATAAATGGCGCATACCTGTTTGTCATTGATGGCAAATTTCTCCAGCTCCTTCTTTGCTTGAAGCAATTTCGCCTAAGTAAAAAAGTGAATATTCATGTTAAATCTTCAGAAACATAAATGCTCACTGAACTGTTGAGCACAGAATAAAGTGCATGCAAGTGGAAAACATCCTTCACCTAAGTGAGTCAGTTAACCTTTAGAATATATTTGACTGCGTTTGGCATCAGATTTGTTGGCTATAAAAACAAATAGGTTGCTAAGAGGCAAGACACAAAGTAATGATTTGTGGAATTTGGTTTTTGCTGACCTCATTCCGTGCCACCAAAGTGATGAAAGCTCCTTGTCTGTAGCACTCGATTGCAATGCATTTTCCAATCCCACTTGAGCCTCCTGTGACCTAAACATGAAAAGGGTTAGAACATTATTAACCAAAAGGTCAAAATCAAACTGCACTCTGTTGACAGATCATTATATACAAAAAAACATGAAGTGGACCAGCACTTGATATTCTAAACCTTCGTAATGGTAGAATATATATATGACCTTTAGTGGCGTAAAGTACATTTACACAAGTACTGTACTCAAATACAATTTGGAGATACTTGTACTTTACATTGTACTTCTTCCCCACAACAATTCAGAGGTAAATAGTGTACTTTTAATACACTACATTTATTTAATATATTTAGTTACTTTGCAGATTTGGATTAAGTATGTGGAATATAATCAACCCTTAAATAAGACTTTAGTTACACCTGGAGTGACATTTACAAGCTACCCTGCACAATAAAAAGTAATTCAAACTAGCTGCACCTTTAACAGCTGTGATACATTAATGCATCAATAGTTGTGATCAAAACATACGATTTATTATTCTGAAATCGTCCAATCTGCATAATGAATACTTTTGGTACTTAAGAATGAATGCAGGACTTTTACTTCTCTACCTCTGATAGCCGGAGTAAATGCATTAGTTTTAAACTGTTTATGTATTGTTAGGGTAAACTTGCAAATAGAGTTGAGTGAGTTCGGAAGTTAGCGTTAGCGTAACTGTAATGTCAACGTTGCCTAAATCATTATGTGGGCGTGTCACTTTTCATAACAGTTCACTGCCATTGTAAATCGCAACTCAGAATATATTTTTCTCATTCAAAGCCTTACGGCTGGTTATAAGCTATAGCTTATAAACAAGAACTAGCTATAAAGCTACACTTAGAGACAACGTTAGCTATCGTTAACAACCTAACTAACGTCAGCAGTTAACATGCACACTTACCACGACGTGGGCCCCGTTCAGTTTCAGAGGCTTGGGGCTAATAAGAGGCGATATCATGTATAACAGCAACACAAAGGCAACAATAAAGGCAGCCACTACAATAAGCATGATGAATGGCAGAAGGAGCCACCAGGAATTGATGAAAAGCCAATCCGTGAACGTTGAGCTCAACGCTTCTTCAGAGGACATGGGTGAAACCTGACTATCGTTAGCTTGTTTGCTAACTAGCAGGCCAGCTTCTGGGGTCCAATAACGGGAGCTATGAGGCAGGCGATGGCCCTCAAAGGGGGAGGCGAAACAAGTGGGAGGAGGAGTTGGAAGATTTGGCAATGAGTCAAAGAAGTGTAAAGACCACCTTAAAGTTACGCGGTGGACCTTCGCTCCCCGGTACAAAGCGCAGTCTGTAAACCAAAACAAATCGAACCGTGCACTGCAAACAGACGCTTTACGAGGGCGCTTGGTAAATGTAGTTCTTGAGCTAACAGGGTTTCAGCTGAATCCAAACGCTTCTTGAGGTGCCTTAACATCAACTCCCACAATGCAATACGCCGCTTCCTCATTCGTCGTACACCCTCCCTTCAGATGTGGGAGAAATACTTAGCTCTTGTACTTGAGTAAAAGTACAAGTACAAGAGTGTAGGAATACGCTTTTACAAGTGAAAGTCCTGTATTCAAAAGGTTACACAAATACAAGTACAAAAGCATTAGCATAAAAATATACTTAAAGTAGTATAATGCAAATTGGTCAATTTCAGAATAAGATATATCACATGCTTTCATTATAATTAGTGATGCATTAAAGTGTGATCAAAGCTGGTAAAGGTGCAGCTAGTTTTAAATACTTTGCATGCAGCAGGGTAGCTTGTGAATGTTATTTAAGGGTTGATTATATTACACATTATTTATCCAAATCTGTAAAATAACTGCAGATATTAAAAGTGACATGTCATGCTTTTCCGGTTATTACCCGTCCCCTTGTGTGTTATGAAGGTTTTTATGCATGTAAACGGTGTGCAGAGTCAAAACCCTCAAAGTACACCATGTAGCGAGTAAAACTCTAACACAGAAAATACCTCCCCAAAACGCCTCGTTGGAGATACGTCACTGTCCATTTGATTCTTCCGGGTACATCATGATGTCATGTCTTCCCCGGAACAAAATGGACCAATCCGTGGAGCCGTTACGTTAAGCCCCCGCTGATTGGTCCAAATTGACCAATCCACGGACTTCCTCACACACTCAGTGCAGGCAGCTCTGCTGATTTCTCCTCCCTGCCTGCAGGATGATAACAGACAGTTGGGATCGCGGCGAAATTCTCTCTGCAGACCCATTCTCTCTGCAGACCCATTCTCACAGCGTTTATCAACCTTTTTCTTACTCAATATCAAGCCACACTTATTGTTTTTACTTCGGCTGTAACTTTGTGTGTGCTCAGCTGTGTTTCGCTAAACAAGGAAATCACACCTCCACGGAGCTTAGCTCGATTCACAACGTCCCGACTGGTCCCGACCAATCGGAGCACACTGGGCTCACAGGGAGGGGGGGGGGGGGCAAGAGCCGTTTAATGGAGAGAGTGAATACTGCTGAATACTATACAGAGATGCTGTATGAGAAACCAATGTGATTTTGGAACATTGAACAATGTAAATATATTCTAGTATACCTCAATGGAATTATGATCAGTGGAAATGGCCATGACATGTGACCTTTAAATACATGTGGTGGAGTAAAAGCACACGATTTACCTCTGAATTGTAGTGGAGTAGATGTACAAAGTAGCATAACATGTAAATACTCAAGTAAAGTACAAGTATCTCAAAATTGTTCTCTATTGCAATACTTGATTAAATGTACTTAGTTACTTCCCACCTCTGCCTCTGGTATGAACATACATTTATGTTCACACCAAACCCAACCAGCCACCAGGTATGATCGCTGATAAGGTAAGGTTGTTTTTTGAAATTGCGAAAAAGGTGATAATCATTCTATATCCCTTTTGTTAATGCTTGACAAAAATTAGTCCTGAATTTGATACAAAAGGAAACTGTTTTTTTTATGTAGCTATAACTTTTTATTTACATTATTGAAACAAAAACAGAAACTCTTATGCATTGTCACCTCTTCACAAAGAAAAGGGTCAAGTGTTGGCTATATGTATAGACATTTACAGTAACGTAAGAGATATTCCCCATCAAAACTTAAAGGAGATAGTTTGCACACCGTAGGAGCAAAATAACACATTTGTATACAATCTCTAAAAGAGCTTACATGAAATGTGAAAGTGTCATACATTTCTTAGTTGTATTGACAAAGCACTGGATATTTAAGAAGTATGACCAATTAAGAAATAAACCAATAAAAAATCAATCTTGCAGTTTCTCTAGAAGGCACATGGTGCACACTGCCACTCATGGCTACATAAAGTTCATGCTTGGAGATATATTCCCATATTGTTAGGTATACAAGAAGAAGATCTCTCCACCTGAGCCTTCAGTGTCCAACTAAGTTTTGTTTGACCAACATTTATAATGACTTTTTCTTAACATAAGGCTTAGTATTTTGCAGTTTATATTGGATAACCAGCAATGCCTAATTGCCTATTGATAATAATGAAACATATGTACAGTATGTTGTGAGAAACCTAACTCATGAGCTGAGTGCAAAGCAATTAAAAGCATTTGAGTCCTTGAATATTGTAAAATAATGCTGGTCTGGCACCATTGGTGATCCACCCTTGTAGCGTGTTTAATTGTAATGAAAAATAAGTAAACAAACATCAATGTCCCTCTTTTTTTGTAGGAAACTTGATGCACTTGAATTTCAAAAGGGTCTACTATAGCTCTCATCCTGAGTATCTGTGTCAAACTCTTAAACGTTCACCACCTTGAGACAACAATGACATATTTTACCACAACATATCCTATGAACTCATGCCCGCTTCACTCCCCCAGCCCAAGATTTAAACATTCCACAAAATACAGTATACACTATAAAATGCTTGTTTTTTTTCCTTAATATAAAATAGAGAATACATAAGGGTTATTTATTAGTGAGATGTAGTCCGACTAGAAAAAGGATGCAAGAGCTAGTCCCAAACTTAAAATAAATTATCTTCATTTCCAAAACCTTGTTTGCAATCATGTGTGTGTATGTCTGCTTTTAGCTTCCCAAGTAGCTTTGTTGTATCGATTTTCTGCCTATGGGAAGTCTTTTGGTTGATATGAAATAAAACTCAGTCCTTCCACTCTTTTAGTGGTTATCAAATTGGCAGAACAGCGCAGTGATCTTGTCCATTTACGATAAACCACGAAGCCTGGTGAATGGTTATGATGAGACACATAGAGAGGGAAAAAAGGGACAGGTACAAAAAGAAGAGACAATGACAACTCCTTTGCTTTGGTATGGCTTGGCTTAATTATCCCTCCTAGCCTTCCTGTCCAAAGTCCTCTGTGAATTTTTTCAGTTTGCCCAGATCTTGATCATTGACTGTTGGCTTTGTGCTGGCCAGAGACCTCAACATGTCAGACTGAAAAGGGGAGAAAATATAACAAGATATTAAAGCGGAGGCTCATATGTGCAATTATATAACCATTTGGTATTTTTGTTTATTCTTACCATGCATACTATAGGTTCCAATAGCTTCTCCCCAGGTACCTCCATCCATGTCATTTCAATCGCGCTGGGATCGCCAGGTGAGCAAGGAGTCAAGAGGTCATCTACTAACATGTTGGGGTCATCTCTTGACGGACCTCGTGCCTTAATTATACAAGTGACAATTAGTTAACTATAACATGTTGCACTATAGTATAAAACAGTGACAAATATTTTAAAAGACATACCCGTTTGAAGTGGGTTGCTGACTGGACCTTTCGAACAGGCTGCATGAGAGCATCTCTGACAATGACACTGATATCAGCTCCTGAGTATCCATTCGTCTTCTTGCCCAGAGTGACAAAGTCGGTTTCGTTGAGACAGTTGGGGGTCGAGCCCAGATGGAGCTTGAACATGAAGGAGCGGGCGTGCTCCTCAGGCAGCGGGATGTAGATCCTCTTCTCAAATCTGAGAGTATTATTGGTGTACAGTCAGTCAATGAGAGTGACAACATGGTTACTAACATCTTTCACCGAGTAGTTACAATTACCTTCTTCTGATGGCTGAGTCGAGGGTCCACGGGATGTTTGTTGCTCCAAGTACCAGCACTCCGTCGTTGTCAGTCCCCACACCTGCAAAACAAAAAAAGTCAGACTAAGTACACATCTAAATTCTTCATTTTAACAACACACTTTGGTACTTGCACTGACATTGCTCCCTACAGCTTTCTATAAGTGCAAGTTACAAAATGAGATTATTGCACCATTGCCTATTAATGGTCAATGCAGTGGGATTTACAGAGTTTACCAACTCTGCTCAAGTACCTTTTATTGCAAACTGAGTATTGAAGAAATTGTAACACATTTAATAATGACAATTGAAAATAAGATCAATATTGATAAGCATACGGCAACATTTGAACACATTTGAACAGGGATGAAGTTTAAACATTTCTGAGCAAAAATAGGAAGAAAGTGGCTATAACCCCCTTTTTTCACCTAAATGAATGGTTGCCAGTGGCTTTTCATCTATAGACTATGCTGCACTTCCGGGCCACACCGCAATCACTGACGTCACAGAAGGGGGTTTCCCTCGCCTGTCAGAAAGCATATCTACTGTGACATCGTTTTATGGGTGTGAGTGACCGTATCATCATTTTTACCTCATGTGATTCACTGATCATTTGAATTGATCACACTTTAGTTAAAAATAAGTGAATAATACGTTAATAGGGAAGTAAAGAGGTAGTAAGCCACATCTTAAGATTAAAAATAAATAAAAATACATTTCAATTTGTTGCCATTGGGCTTGTGTATTAAGGGACCAAACAACCCAGATATTATTATTTGTAGTCACCCAGACATTGCAGCTTTAATTTTTTCCTGAGCACAGCTGGAGTTTTTATGTTGATACATTTGTCTTTCCCAACTAAAATGATTCCAGGGAAAATGTAGGATGCATATAGAAACAAAAAAATGTTGCTTCATTTAGTAAATAAACCATCGTTTATCAGACTTACCCTGCATCTGAACCAGGAACTCTGTCTTAATACGGCGAGCAGCCTCACTCTCGTTTTCACTTCTTGAGCCACACAGGGAGTCAATCTCATCAATGAAGATAATAGAAGGCTTGTGTTCCCTTGCAAGGGTGAACAGATTCTTCACCAACCTGGGAAGCAAAAGGGAAATTCACTAAAACGAAAAAACAACTTTCTGCTGGCCGCAATATATGTTATGCTTAACTTTTCTCTACTTTGCGTTGGTGGATTACTCTTAATAGAACTTACTTTTCACTCTCTCCCAGCCATTTGGAGACAAGATCAGACGAGGAGATGGAGAAGAAGGTTGAGTTGTTGGCCTCCGTGGCAACAGCTTTAGCCAGATAGGACTTTCCTGTACCTGGAGGTCCAAAGAGAAGGATCCCCCTCCATGGTGTTCTCTTTCCTGTCAGTTAACAAAGAGGTAATTTAGGCTATAGTGTCAACAGAAATCCTCAAATGCACTCTGACTGTTTCTTGGAACAAAGATGTTGGCTTCTGTCATTCAAGGGCAAAGTTACGAGGAAGCCTTTCTAATGATTAAGATGTATTACCTGTGAAAAGGTGGGGGAATTTGATCGGAAGAATAACAGCTTCTTTCAGTGCCTCCTTGGCTCCCTCTAGTCCAGCAACATCATTCCATTTGATGTTTGGTTTCTCCATAACAATTGCACCTGGAAAGAAGAACACAGTACATTTCTAAAAGTCTTAATAAGGTCAGATGTAGGAAAGACTGCATGTAAAAGAAAATCACAAAAAATAAACAAATATTAACATTAATTCTGATATTTTAATTAAGTATGCAGCAGGCCCAATGACCCTCAAAAAGAACATTACTAACCTGAGAGCTGATTTTGGAACTTCTTTTTCTCTGGATCGTCCCCTTCATCGCTTTCATTCCTGGAGACACAAAGATATAATTAAAAATAAGTCTACAATTGTGCCTATATATCTAGTAAAAAAGAATGTACTATATCTCTACTTCTATATATATCTCAAAGGAACACAGATTTTCCATGCACACAGATTTTTCACATCTGTCCCACCCATATACACACCCTTTGTCGTCAGACTGGGACTCTTTGACAGGCTTTGCAGGGGGAGCATTTTCTTTCTTCTTTAGATACTCCTTCAACTTTTCTGCTCTGTCCAAATATTCGGCACATTTTGCCCGGATGCTCTGTTTAGCTTTGTCACTCTGGGCTTCATCTGTGAAGAATAACAACAAAAAGGTACACACAAATTATTTCCCATTTAAGCATGTGTTCATGAAAGAGACTTCACAAAAGGTGTCATTTATTTAAATGATACTTGCCATCACTGCTATTATGATCGTATACAGAAATAATACACTTAATGCCAATATGCTGTTTTGTGCCTTACATTTCACCACATGGAGGAAGTACTGAACAGCAGCCTGGTAAAGTCGCAGAGCCTCCTCGTATTTCTGAGCTTTATCCTCCTGAGCAGCCTTGCTGGCAAGATCAATGGCTTTCTAAAATAAAAGAGACACAGAATAATGTAAATTGTATAACCTGACTGTGCAGGTTCTACAATTGACGACGCAAACAGATAGCTGTTTGAGGTTCATGAGTTTGAATTATGGACACAAACAACCAAAACAAACATCTAACTCTATATGCATTACATTAATGCACACAATGTTCAAATACTGCTTACTGCACATATTCTATAACTCATTGCATTCCGCTGTAAATTACTGCTTTATTTGATTGCTATTTAACTATATTTTATTACAGTGTCCTTAAAGATTTTTTGTTTGATAGAGATTTTTTGTTTTATATTCGATGTATGCACCATGACATCAAGTCAAATTCCTCGTATGTGTGAACCTACCTGGCAATAAACCCGTGCGAAAGTTGTGAAACGCACACTAAAAAAGTGAATATGTCAAGTCGCAGGCAACCTTTCTATATTGAGATGTATCTATCAAATTAATGTGTGAATATCAGATGTTATACTTCAAATGTCTCGTGTGATGACACTACGCACACCGAGGTAGGAGTGGACCTGGATTCATTCTTTCACTGCCTTTTTTACCGTAGCTATACAGTATGTAACTATAACACAATGGGTACATAAAACACAACTCCTAAATGATATAACGTTAACTGTTGTACTTTCTTTTTGAAGTGGATTTCTATTTAAAGGCCACATAAAAACAGTTAGCAAGCTAGCAACGTTAATCTCCTTAGCTATGTGTTTTGTTCGTCAATACAGGCTAACGCTAATGATATATGGCAATTGCAACGATTTCGTATACTGTAACAAAGTTAAATACAAGCTTTAATAACACATATGCCACCATTTCACACGGTTTTGATCTGCGTTGTTGACAAGTTAACTGCCAAATTCATGCCCATGTTAGCTAGCCATGCTAACCAGCAGCTAATGCTATTTTACACAGTCGGAAGAATTTACACCGAACACCACTCGACAAAACAAGGCCAGAGGTTTCAGTGGTCAATAACTAGAATCCTTTTACAGTTAACTCCACATGTGAACATCTATGTTGGGTTATTTACGCGTATTTAAGCCAGCCCTGGGTGTTTGTCCTGCTCAACTTACCTGTAAATTATTGTTGGTAGCCATAATGGCTGATCACTTGTCCAATAATAGAAACCGACGTAGCTCCGTCGTGAGGAAACCCTTTTAAAACACACTGCTTTATAATGTAACCCTACACGTAGAGTGTTAAGTCGACAATCGCTGTTTTTCTGACGCTTGTTTTCGTTTCTAAGATCGCTCCCGAGTCAAATCGAGTAGGAAACTTCCGCATTGAAAAGTCGATACTCGCGTGCACGGAATGTAATGACGTCAAGACGTACCCACGGTTGGCTACAGTTCAGAGTACACTGCGTTTCTATTTTTAAATTATATAAAATAAAGCATTGAGGGAAGATATTAGATCAATCGTCACCACGTTTTCTTCCCGTGTGATCCAATGTTGTTTCTTACTCTTGTCTCATATTACTACAACTCTTTCGTTGTCTGTCATGTAGCCTGATATTCGGCGTCTTTTGTTTGTTGAAACCAATCCCCGTTCCCTTTTATAGGCTAGCTACAGTCTACACTACAGGTTTATCCAAATGGACACTGCCAGACTATGAGATAACTTTTAACCTTTGTCATTCTGACTTTAATTTAATTTGTGAAAGGTAACTTTTTAGCATGCACTCAAGTACCCTACAGTAACATTGTTGAGGAGCCTACAAGTTGGAGGCTCCTGAACCTTGTGCTTAAATGGAAACCAGCAGTAGGCCAACACAAAAAGGATTACAATGAGTTACACCTTTAAGTAAAAGCTTGAATGCAGGACTTTTACTTGTAACAGAGTTTTTGTATGCTGTGGTTTCGCTACATGTACTGAAGTAAAACATCCTAATATCTCTTCTGCCACTGGATCATATAAACAGCATTTCAATTAGGCCTAAGTAAAAGTAAGCAACAGGTCCACTCATGCTGAAGCACATCCACACTATGTGAACTTCAAAACATATCACAGATTCTGGCATTATGAAAAATAATATCAATATTTGTTACCCAAATGTCATGTAAATACATTATAACAACCTCTTTATACACTAGATACTCCTGTAGTTCTTCCACTCGGTCCAGGTACTGTTTACATTTATCTCTGATCTTTTGGTTGCCTTCTTTACCCTGGGGTTCACCTGATGGAAAGGATCAAATGTATTGAGTAGCATTCTGTAATCATTTCTGCCTCAAACATTTATAAACTAAAAGTTATAATGTTGAAAGCACCTAAAACTTGCAGTAACAAAAACGTTAATAGGGTAATTTCACTTTCATTCATGTGTCATTATATGAATTTTGTTTCCAGCTGTAGTGACGCACGTTTTACAATGTGCAGAAAGTACTTGACAGCATGTTGGTAGGAGCGGATTGCCTCTTCATAGTTTCCATCCTGGTCTTCCACTGAAGCCTTCTGTGCTACAGCAATAGCTTTCTATGAGAGAAAGTGCATTAATATTTCACATACAATCATATCTTAAGCTTTTATTAATATCACTCCATGATACCAGGGCCCTGAAACCAGTTTTCTAAAATGATATATATAGTAGTTTGTAGTGTTTGTGGCTTTAATGCAAATGTATACAGGGAATCACATCTTATCCGAATATTCAGACCTTATTACTGTTGACTTGCATTAATTGTAAAGTCAGTTTAAATCTGCCTGTGGAAATCTGATGAGACCATACTGTTTTAGTGCCTAAATTGCTGCTGAAACGTTTTTTATGTATAACTTCCCTCAGTTTTGTATACTTTTCTCAACAAAAAGCTATTTATATTATAAAACCTAAGGTTTGTAATTAGAGTACAGGGTTACTACTACTATTTTAACCAATGAAAGACGACTACACTGCTAACAGCTGTCTTTCTAAACCAATCAGATAACACATAGAACTTTGTGTTCATTTCCTGCCTAAAACATTTTATAGACAGTTAAATGAATAATTTCACAGACTGGCATTGAATCTGTGGACTAATCACTAGGTTTGGTCAATGATGTAGTTCAGTCAGCTCTTGCAGAACATACATATTGACACAACATATTCCGCATTCAAAGGGCCAATTCTGCTATTGTACAATAACACGACTGAAGACTGAATCCACATTAGGCTTTTCGTCAAAATGAAACCTGTTGGTTTGCATTCGGGGCATACACTCTGTTTGCTTTTATCCGAGATACTACACTTCTTACAGTCCACTACCGAGAAACGAAGAGCTGCAGTCTTAATTAAGTAAAGTTATTCATCCTACCTGTAGAGTAGTGGGCTCCATGCGGAGTCCTGTCAGAATTCAAAACACAACAGATTCAGGTTTCGTGTACCCAGTCGTATGCTAGCGCACAACAAGTTCCTGTATGCATACAACTCCCTCAGCTATGACACATGAGTCCTGTCAGAGGAATGGCAGCGATGTTGGGACGCGGAAACCCTCCTGCCAGTGAGTCACGATGCTTGATTGTTGTTGTTCTAGTTACAGAGACACAACGACACAACACAAGTTGCTGAGCCACTGTATGAATGACTCAAATAGAAACGGCTGTATCATAATTATATAGCCTAATGATGAGCGTTCACTCTGAATTATTTCTAGAAATTGGAATTAAGTGAAAAGACTTTGCGTAAAGTAAGACGGAGAGGATTTGTTTAAGTTGTAACACAATATTGTAGCTCTTATTCAAAAGACCAAGTGAAATGGAAAACCGGAGGCTCCAGTGGTGTGCGTGTGCGCAATACCTCAAACACTTCAGTAATCATTGTCATGTGATCATGATTTATCCACTAGATGTCGCCCTAAGATCACTGTAGGAGGAACCCTGCAAATCAATGGTAGGGTACATAGCATAGGGTACATGTTTGGGGCTCCTCTGATCCTGCGTTAGTGATACTACACTTTCACAAAACTTAAACATATATAAAATTATATGAATTATACAATATTAATAAAAATGATAATTAAAACATGTGTATGCCTTAAAAGCTTTCTTAACCATCGTCATAGTTCAAGTTTGAGTTTTATTTGATATATGTAGGTTAACACAGGTCAACTCAGCAATAAAAGCCCTGGTTGCATATACAAGCATTAGATTTAAAATATATAATCAGATAAAATGGCAACAATAAAAAGACAAGGATAAGACAAAGTGACATAAGTTAACAATGATGACAAATAAAATATATTAATGTAATCATATATGATATTTTGTGTTTTTCTCAATATCAACAGTAGCAGCAGTTTGATGATTATAAAATGTTATCTTAATTTAATAATCAAACTTACATTTTATTTTTGCATTTGCACAAGTGGCAGCCTATTTTAATTGAGCTCAAACAAGCACAATTATAAAAAGCGATCACTTTAAAGAAGATCGTAAACTTCTAGGAAACAAAAATGTATTCTACAAATAATTAGTATGCACATATGCATGTTTAAACTTGTATGTAAAATATAGTTTTCATGTCATGTGAAAAGGAAAGAAAGGGACCACAGAGGTGCTGCTGGGAAACGCAGTGTAAACGGTGATAGAGACCTTTGGCCCCACTCACTATTAGCATCGAGCTCAGACCGTCGACAGCCTGACACCTGATAGCTCCACTGTGGCGCACACTTTGGTTAGGAATACGGGAAAGTGGGGTTGTTAGTTCGGAAACATGCGTCAAAAAGAGAGTACATCCTTAACAGCAGCAGACCAACTTAACGCTCTGTCATTGACATTATCGGATTCCTACTAAAAGAGTTTTGCGCACTCACGCAGCCCTTGGGCGCATTTCATGGAGATCTATAGATGACAAGACCTGCACGCTGCGTGTTGCTCTCTGCATCTACTGGGATCTCTAAAACGGAACATGGCGAGAGGGATGAGAGGAGCTCATCTCCTCGCTGTAATTGTTACCTTTTCAGTAACACTTTTCAGGGACGCAGATGCACAAGGAACTTCTGGTTATAGTTTAAGCCCTCCGTATTTCAACCTCGCTGATGTGTCTAATATCTCTGCCACAGCAACCTGCGGTCAGGATGAGAATGGGACACCGAGACATGAGTTATACTGTAAGCTTGTCGGGGGTCTGACCTACGGACTTCCTTCTCAAAATATACCGGTAAGAAAAAGTTACATTCTTACTAAAGCTTTTGGATTGTGCTTAAAAGTTAATATTAAGAATATGCAGACACTGCTGTATTGTGGCTGAGTGAATATAATTAAAGTTTAGTTTTAAATCATAACTATTGACAGAAAGTATTCCAGCCTTTTTTGTTTTGTCAATATGGCCTCTTACAAAAGTTTATTTGTATAAGTGCAAATTGTCTTATCCCAATGTAGGTGAGTTTTCCAAAGAAAATGCCCTTTCTAAAAAGGTGTTGTCCTGCAGGAGTACTTCTGAAGTTTGTTACAGAGGTTTGGCATGGACATGCACAAACTTTGGTCCAAATTTAAGATTAGCTTGTGGTTGTAATATCCCCCATAGCAGCATTGAAAAAGTGATTTGCAAGTGCTTGCCTGTTCCATTATAAATCATTCAACTGTTTTTCTGAACATATTTGGGTGTGTATCTGAATACCAACAATCTGACACTATTTAGGGTCAGTACTGTGACTACTGCAACGCCATTGACCCTAACAAAGCCCACCCGGTGACAAACGCAATTGATGGGACAGAGCGATGGTGGCAGAGCCCTCCTCTCTCCATGGGCCAGGGCTACAACGAGGTGAACGTTACCCTGGACCTTAAGCAGGTAAGACTATCATACCTTACTCTGCTGCTATGAATGTGAATTAAGCAATGTTTTTTACCTGTTATTTTCACTGTGTTTTGCTGCTGCTTATTTGTTTTAGAAATGCTAGAAGAAAGGTGTTTCACTCATGGTGTTGCATTCACAAAATATCCAAAAGTGTTACACAATGAGCATTATCACCTCAGCCAGCAGTGATCATGTGAATAATGTCCTGCAGTTGGATGCTTGCCAGGAATCAGATTCATCATGACCCCTGTCTCTGGAATGAGATTGGCTCATAGCCCATCAAATTGCACCTCACGCTCAATTATCTAGCGTGAGGAAAGGGAGGAATTCTTTCTCTGGATTAGGGATCAGAAGGATGTATATCAGATTTGAAGAGTACAGGTGGACCTCTTGTGTATGGAGGGTTTTGATGAGTTCTGGAGTAGACTTCAAAAAGAGAGCAACAAATTAGCTCCTCTCCACACGTGTTGCATCTTTGGCCCACAGTGCGTACTGTGTCAGACAATGCATGGGTGCAGGCTTTCTATCTTTATTTTTAGGCAGACTGAGCTGGGCAAAGATCCTACATGGCTAAATATAGTTCATACTTACAAGAGGATGGACGCATGCAGGGCCTGTAGGGATGTCTGACACTAATACGTGGTAATTCTCAGTTTATTTGGGAGCCGGGAAAGTAGCATTATTGTATTATGGTGTGCTAAAAAGAGCATGATGGTGACTACCAAGCACTCAACACCAAGCCTTCTTTCACTACAACACCACCACCTAAACCACATAAACACACACGCACCTGTCCCACACATATTTCTTTCCATGGCATCTGATGCATCCACCAACACTGTAAACAGTGCTCACCTGCCATAGAGGCATGCCATACCGTTGTTTCACTCTTCTGTGTACGCAGCAGAGAAAGGGACTCTGTGTGAAAACTCTGTGGGGAGCTTTATTCTTATTATCCTTATTAATTCATCCTTGGATTTATCAAATCAACAAACTATCATACTCACACCTTCTTTGAGAGAAAGAAACAAATATACAAATCACATAATGATAAATTCTATTATATCTGATTTGGGTTTTGTAAATAAGCTTTTTCTTTTGGCATCTGTTTTTATTTCACCCTACAAATGCATTTCATGCCTTAGGTGGTTTGACTCTGAGGCTTTGATAGCTTTGTACATTTTTTCAAATCCACTGGATAAATGATGTGTTAAATGAACTATGTGGGCTAGACCGAGCTGAATGACTTTTGTGGTTTCTTTCAAGATCAACGCAGGTGGCTGTTCTGCTGTTGTCTATGTAGCTCTCTAGATATATTAGATAGCATCACAGTTGATGTCTATGTTATAATGGTGAGGTTCAAAGAGAGAGGCCTTTTCTGACAGGGCTGTTTCCGTTTTTGTCCTGTATAGAGGACCGTTTGAAGCACCGTCCGCCAAGTTTAAAGCTGGACTATTCTAACTTAAAGTGAACTCACAAAAACCCCAGTGACTCTGGTGATCTTCTGACTCTACCTCATAAAGACCCTGTGAGGTTGACATTTTTGCATTTTAGACGCATGTCTCAACAGCAATTGGAGGGACTGCCATGAATATTTGGGGTACACACAATCATGTGCCCCTAAGCATGAATTGTAATGACTCTTGTGATCCCTTGACTTTTCATTAAGCGCCATCATCAGTCAATATGTTACATTTTCAGGGGATCACAATCTTACACAACTTTGTGTTTACCACTTTTACTAACTATTTACATGCTGACATGAGAGTCATTACTCTCTCAATTGCCTCCAGCTCATAAATCTCATCTGAACAAGCCCTGTCCCAATGAGAGGCTACCTGCTCGCTGTTATTGTGACCTCTTGGCTTTTGACCTGTGACCCATGACAAATCCCAGTCAGGAAATAACCTCAATAATCCTCAATTGGCTACTGTATGGATACAAATGGTGTTTGGCACATATGGAGTGTCTACATCTAATCTACCTCTAATTATTGGCCCAAAAATAATGCACTTGAGGAAACCACATACTGTATGTGGGAGCATTTCTGAATTGATTTTCACAAAAAATGCTTTTGCCATGTAAGGGTTTTTCTCTTCACCTCTTAATTCGGACGGGTGGCGTAGTGGTCTGTGCGTTTGATCATCAGATCAAGGGAGCGTTGGGGAACTCCAGTTCGAAACCCGCTCCTGCCCCACTGCGTCAGGCCATTGTGTACTTGGGCAAGACACTTCACCCGAATTTGATCCTGTGGGTATTGTCCACAGTAGATGACCATTACATGTATGATCTGTATGTGTAATGTGTATTTGTAAAGCGCTTTGAGAGTCTTTGATAAAGCGCTATAATAAATATAAGGATTATTATTATTATTATTATTATTATTAATTCGGTCATAAATCAAAACCCAGTAAAACATTTCTTGTCCATCCCATTATAGATGCATTTTATGTCTGTGCCCAATAAATAAAGGCCTTTCCAGGAACTTCTGCTCTTGTTAAGCTATTTGCAGAACACAGTAGGCAAGCCATTGTCTTGGTAAACATTTACACCACATATCAGAGGGCCAGTCACTCGTTTTTTCTGGGGAATGTATTTTAGGAGCCCTGACCACATGTGCTTATCTGTCTGAGTGAGCCCAGAGTAGACCATGTGAGACAAACATACCAGGGTTTACTGCTGTCTGTCTCCCATCTGATTGGTCGGCATCGTTATTGAATGAATATCAGATAGTAAAGTTCTGAGTTGTTGGATACATTTTAAAGGAACTGGCATGAATATGTGAAAGTGAAGTATTATGTCTGTAGGTGAGAGGTGTTTATTGTGTCAATGGTGTGTGTGATGTTTTTGTGGCTTAAATGTGTTGATTGACAGAACATCTTTGTGTTTATCTGGGATTTATATGTTATTTATATATATGCTATGATATTGGACATTCTTTTCACTTTGTATGGGACATGCAAGTAAGAACATTGATTTGATCTGGTTCAGGTTAGTGCAAAGGCGTTGGCACTGTTAAAAGTTCCCTGGAACATAAGCCCCTCTCTAAGGGGTCCACCTCCCACCGAAGTTGGTTTGAATGTTTTATTTGCAGCCGTCGCCCCCTTTTGTGTTAGAATCCTTCTAGGCGGTATTGTGTGACATCCTTTCTGTGCTCCCAGACTCTCACAAAGGTTTGGTTCTTATTATGCTTCTCTGAAAGTGACCTGGCCTTCTCTTTTCACTCATTAAATGGAAAGAAATGAAGAGGTGGTGTAATTTGGTGAGAAAGTACTTAAACAGAGAACACATAGGAACACACAAGTGATAGACTGAACACATTCACTTGTCTTCCTCACTCTCACTGAGTAGAATACAACCATACATTTGCTTGCTTGCATGTTTGAGCTGGTATGCATTGCTGTATATCCTTCAAATCATGCAACAGGTGGTTTGCAGATATGTAGAGGCTATAATCCAAATCAGAGTGTTATGGATATTGAATATGTAATCCGAGACAAAGATTTGATTGAATTGCTGCTGAAAATCTATCTTTATTTGTTGTATAGGCTTGGTAATAAAGCTTTGTTTATATAGGGCAGCTGGTTCAGTCCGACCCTGGAGACAAGATTGGCTGTTAGACATGTCCCTATTGCTGTGGTGACGATGGAGGTGATGTAAGTTCCCGCTTTAGCCGGGCTGCCTGAGGCGCCAGGCCAACCCAGCAGCTATTTACTATAGAGCTTCCAGCCACCTCCTGCTTTTCAGCAGTATAGCAGTCTGGCATCACGGGTGACTGTTGGACTGCAGTTCCTCCTAAATCTGGAGCTCCGATGTGGAAAAGATTGTGGGATTTAATTTGGGATTCTATTCACCTTTTGTAAGCCTTTAATTCACACGTGGAAATACCAACAAGTTGTCACGTGTTTAGTGACGCAGGCATTGATGCAATGGGATGTGTTACGGAGCAGGAGTTTTTATAGACCCTTCGACAACGCTATCAGAAATACACTCATGTAAAAGTTGGAATACAAACTGCATTAGTATAATATTTCAATATTACATACATTTCCCATACATATTTTGCTGAAACATTGCAATCATTACTCCTTTTATATTTGGAGTGAACGTCAAGGTCTTTCAATAAGGAAATTGTATTTGGTCTGAGAAAGATTCATAGTTCAATTGAAAATATATCTTTGAACAAATAATTTCAAAATACACATTTTCTCCTTCAAACCTGAACATACATTGATATTGAATGCTTTTTGTTTGAGCCCATATTGAACTCTGCTTGGCTTTGTAATGCTCATAAATACTTTTATTAAATAGGTCAACATGTAATGTTCAACGCAGGAATATACTTTTATTAAGCAGCTGCACCTCAGGCTTTTGCAATATGAAGACTGCTATCAAGTATAAACTTGTACAAGCTGTATGTTTTCTGTTACATGTTTCTTGTGACTGTTCCTTGCCACCATATAACTAATTCTGTCATGGAGACAGAGAAAAATACACCAGACCACCCCTCTCCCCTTTTTCACAGCCCACCTGTTGCACAAAGACAAACAGTTGTACATTGCATTGTCACAAACTGGAGGCCAAACGCTCCACCCCACTGGGCCGCAGCACGCTCTGTCTGGCAGGGCTGATCCACTCCAACAGAAGGTGAAGCCTCCTCTCCTTTGAATTGCATTCCTCTGATCTCACATCAGACTCTCGGGAGCTCGCTCAGATTGGTATTCTATCTGTCAGGATTGTGATCTCACTACTGCAGATTTAGTCCTCTTAGCTCTGCCTTTGGGACTTGGACTTTCAATTATCTGCTTCTTGACTTCACTTGCTGAAAATCTACTTATGATGTTGGCTTGGTAGCTTACATTTCCCGCCTGTTTAAAGGTCAATTTCTACTGATCATAATTCCATTGTTGAGGTCTATTAGAATAGATTTACATTGTTCAATGTTCCAAAATCACATTGGTTTTCTCATACAGCATCTCTGTATAGTATGTGTATTCACTCTCTGTCCTACACGCCTTGTTGGCGCTCCTCCCCCCCCCCTCCCTATGAGCCCACTGTGCTCTGATTGGTCAGCTCGCCCACTCTGTTCTGATTAGTCAACCACCGTTACAGCTGGACATCAGTGTTTGTGTTACAATGGCGTTTGTTAGCAACCAGAAAATGACACCAGTAATGACAAACATATGAGAATGCTGCGTGGGGTCTGGGTGCCGTGTTGGCGGGACGTTGCGGGGCTCGCTGCTCCGCCCTTTGAGACTCGAGGAGCCGACAGTGTGAGCTGGATTAATGGTGTCGTTTCCTGGTTGCTGCATGGGTTCTGCCAGCGCCATATAGAGAGATGGCATCTATTATATGGCTCTGGGTTTCTGCGAGTCACCGCGGAGCTCAGCCTGAGCACACACACACACACACACACACACACACACACACACACACACACACACACACACACACACACACACACACACACACACACACACACACACACACACACACACACACACACACACACACACACACACACACACACACACACACACACAGCCTGAGCTCTGAGTGTGTGTGTGTGTGTGTGTACGGAGCTCCGCGCAGCACCGCGGCTGAGAAAATATAAGGCTGAGTGAGTGTGTGAGTGTGTGTGTGTGTGTGTGTGTGTGCGGAGCTCCGCAGCGTTACGTCACTATGACCAGGAAGAAACAAATTGAAAAAGAAAAATCTCCAACGAGGCGTTCTGGGGCAGCATAGATGGGTCTTTTCTGTGTTAGAGTTTTACTCGCTACAGGGTGTACTTTGATGGTTTGTGACTTTGCAGACCGTTTACATGCATAAAAAGCTACATAACACACAAGGGGACGGGTAATAACCGGAAAAGCATGACATGGGACCTTTAACATTCGATAAGATTAAATATAGGGTTTACATGTTATGTCTACACATTTCCTCTCTGCATGGTAGCATACAATACCTGCTATTTGGGCAAACATATTTAAATATCAAACAAATGGATTATGAAATAAAGCAACAAGCACTTAAGAAATTCCTAACCAGTCCATTTAACAGTACACTTCATTTGAGTAACACAAAGAGATTATAATTGAAGAGATCCACGTGGCAGGCACAGCAGCAGGAGCAACAACGGTGAAAGGGTCACGCTATCAGGCCATTTTTTAATATCTCTGATCTTTCTGTGAAACCACTCCACGGCTATATGACCTGGAGCGCAGACAAGTATCAAGTGAAGCAGTGCTGCAGTTCACGCTTAACGGGGCATATTTATCACTCTTGAGCTGTCACACACACACTGATACACACACAAACTAGGCATCAACTGTCAGCAGTCAATCAGCCAGAAATTATAACACACACACACACACACACACACACACACACACACACACACACACACACACACACACACACACACACACACACACACACACACACACACACACACACACACACACACACACACACACACACACACACACACACACACCGAAACAACCAGTGGGCATGAAATGTCCGGGGTCAAAATATTTAGTAGACTTTGTGTGTTTTTGTCAAAATGAATTCACACAAAACGACAAGTGTAGCCCGCTGTTGTAAAAATGGTGTTTGGTCATGAGGGACTTGTTTGGCTGTATCTCCTTGTGTTAATTAGAAGGTTAGGGGAGGTCTGGAAACCTTATACCTTGTATGTGTATGAGGAGGCAGAGACGGTAGGTGTCAAACAGTCCATACCTGTCACTGCTCAACCCCTGACCCCTTTGACACCCACCCACAGACTCCTTCTCTAAACCTCCTGGCATGGCACTCTAGTCTAAAGCCCCAGGCTGCAGATTCAGGGAGGGGCAGAGGATGGCTCCACTCAAGTGTTATTCCAAGTGTTTTTGCCACAAGCTTGTCAATCTGTTTAATGTCTTTGTACGCCACTGGAATCCTGCGCTGCTCTGCTTAGCATGCCATTACGATATTTCATGCTCCATGCAAACAATACGTAGGTGCTGGATATATTTCAAGAGTGTGTGTTTAGACTGGCAGCACACAGTTGGAAAGACAGGCCTGAAATTAAGCACAGCCGTGCCAGGGCAGGCCCTGTCTTCCAAGATCACGCTGTATGTTTCTCGCTGAGTTTGTTTCCGGAGGATTCTTCCCACCATCACTCAGTTACTGGCATCAAGTCAGTGTTAGATGCCATGGTGAACGGTATACACACAGTCAGCCTTGATTAGCATTTTGGAAAGTTAAATGCATGGGGATGGCAAGTGGTTGGATTCCCTATTTTGGTCTTTTCTGATTTTATAAAGTTAAACGCCAAACAATGTTACTATTGGTTACCCACCATGTTCTGAATGTTGTTTGTTGGTGTTGACTGAAATGTCCATTAAGTACTGAATGTTGGCATAAAAGGCTTTTGTCTGATTTGTAGTTAAATTGTAGTTTTTTTCTTTCTTACGATTTAGTTTTGTTGTTGAATTAATGTAGCAAATGTAGAAAGGGGGGGAAGGTGAGGCCATGGCAAGCGCCGGAGAGCTGTGTATTGGATTCAAACTTGGGTCGCTTTCTGTAAGAACTCAGCCTTTCCGGCTCTCCCTGCTGGGGTCCCATTCTGAAAAATGTGTGCTGCAACATTTTGGGGGAATGACATGCAGACTAAACCAAACGTGCCACTAACATACCCCATATATCTCCAAAGAACATGTGTGACTTTCAGCCGCAGAACTGAAACTGAAATTCTTGAATGACAAAGGACAGTGTAATTATTTTTGGGAGACAGGAGCATCTCCTGTAGTTACTGTGTTGATCTGTGCCCCGGACAGGAGTTGGAGAAGATTTTCACTGCTGTGCATTGCTGTCCATGACAGGTTTCTGAAAGCTGTGGCACGCTCTGCTGCGGGGGCATTATGAGGGAAGGGGAATTTGGCGCTATGTTTGGAATCTGAGATGGGTCTTCATGCCAGCCCGCACGTCTCTACCCTCCCCTCTTCCCGTTTGACCCTCCCCCGCACCTCTCTCCTCCTGCATCCCTTTCCCCAGCCCTCCCTTGATGTCATCACTGCTCGTGTGAACTAAGCTTCCTCCTGTTCCTCAGCAGAACCAGCATATTGATAGCAGGCAGCTCCTCTGGAAGAGCTGTGCTTCTGTTTTTAGCTGGGTGACAGCCCACATCTTGTTTGCCAGCGCCCTAACCCATTTTAGCACATCCTGTTACATGTGGGTGGAAGTGCTTTCTGATTAATTTCAGGACACACCCAATTTAAAGTTGTCAGAAAAAGGCAGTTTTATTTTATTTACTGTTCTGCTCAATGACAACATTGATTAAAAGGCAGTAAAAAAGGTTAGTTATTAGGGATTGTTTACAGTTTTTAGAGAAAAAGGCCAGTCATTTGCTCAGCTGACCTCTGAACTCTCTTACAGTCCATCAACCCAAGAGCTACTTGAACTTCAGGCCGTTACGTTTTAGGGTTTGGTGGAGAAATCCATCAAGATAATTGTGGGTGCTTCTTGACATTGTCCACGGCTCTTTACTTTGCTTTGATATGATTGTAAGCATTGCTTCTAGCCTCATGCAAGGAGAGACAGCAAGCTGAGTGCTTCAAAAGCCCGCTGGGGTTTACAGCATGGAGCTGAGGGATACTAGACGAGCGTGGGCCTGCCTTCAACTCTCTCAAAGAGAGTCAGTCAAAAGACATGTTTTTATTTAAACAGCACTCTCTATTTTGGGCACTGTTTTCATTCATCACATAATTCCTGAGGGCACGCACCATAAGTTTTGCACACATGCCTACAGTACCCTGCTTTTAAGACATGTTAAATGTTTCATTAGGATCCACGACAGCACTGAAATTGCACAGACGGATAAAATCTGTTTCAGAAACACAGAAACAGAAACATGACAGGGGTGTGGTGTTTAGAAGCAGGTGAGGCTTTTTGTTGACACTGCAGGTGTTGCATGCAAGATGGTGTCACAGGGTTTAAATTCCAAACCACGCCAAGTCTATAACAAAGTGCTATGACATATCACAAGGACCTTTATATCGTACAATGTTCAATCAAGCTGAAGTCACCCGATTTAAGGGCTTGATTAGGATGTTGATGAACTGCAAAGGAAACATACTGCTCTGACAGAAAGCTCACTGTTGGCAGAAACAATCATTGGCATAATTTTCTGCCCTGGTACGGACTGTGTACTCTGATGAAAGATGGAGATAGAGACTTCCGTACACAGACATGGATAATGTGGGCTTAGCTGATGTCTTTTCACTTACCTGCAACACTTTTATTGACTCCATGCTGACAAATGCTGGTGAATTGTTGTATTTGTGCTTGGCTTTATGGCCACACAAATACTGCTGAAGTCGAGCCTTGAATCAGTGTAATCACTAAATCCTCTATAAAAGTCACTAGGTATGTGACTATGTTGGTGATGACCGAGCCGATGTTGTGCCCCAGCTTTCACAAGAAAGGGAACAAGAGTATTTTCAGAGATGCTGGCCTTGGCCGGTGCCTTACTTGACAGAGCGAATTAAGCACAGGAAACGACAACATAATGCCAAAATCCGTTCAGAGCAGTGACTGCATTTCTTTGTTTAGCCTGCTCTTTGTCTTCTGATTTGTAGCTCTTCCATGTGGCATACATCCTCCTCAAGTTTGCTAATTCACCTCGACCTGACCTCTGGGTGCTGGAGCGCTCTGTGGACAATGGGAGAACCTTCACCCCCTGGCAGTATTTTGCACGTAAGTTCTCCTGCAATGTTGTCGTTTTTACTCACAATCCACATTTGCATATATGTACAGTATATGCATAATAATATATGCTATTTATGTTATTACTTATCTTACAACTGATTGTCAACTTATCCTCTCCTTTTCTTTCTAAGTTATTAATGTTATTTTTGATATCTCTTTAGAGCAGTGATCTATATGACTAGTGCTTTTATTGCTGTGCTGACCCGTTCTAATGTAAAAAAACATTGAATTATGCTGTGGAGCCTATGTGAACCTACATATGACTCATTAAACTGAAACTTGAACTCAAACTATTTTATCCCTAAGAAAGAAAAACATTTCTGCTCTCTTAATTGTTCCATGAATCAAATGTTTAAAAGTCAAATGAAATGTTCCCCTGGAGTTGTTGGTCAGATTATAAATTAGCTAAAGCTGCTTACATGTACAGTATAACCTGCCAGTCCCCAAACTTGTATGTACATTTAGTAAATCGGGAAAGAATGTTTGTTTTTTTAACTACAATGTTTGAATGGAAATTGATGTCAAAGTGATCCCCACTTGAAAGAAAACCTATTACACATTTTGATCATTACACTTAATTGCAGTTTTCTCTTCTCATGATTTGTTTGTCATACACAAAAAGAGATTGGAAAGTGATTTATTACAGTAACCACTCATTATCCTAATAACACACACACACACACACACACACACACACACACACACACACACACACACACACACACACACACACACACACACACACACACACACACACACACACACACACACACACACACACACACACACACACACACACACACATCCAATCCACTTTATTTATATAGCACAGTTTAAAAACAGAGGGTTTGCCAAAGTGCTTCACAATGATCATAACATTATAATAAAATATAATATTACATGAATAGATAAAAGGCACACATAAGAAAAGATAAAAAAGCACACATAAGAATAAATACAAGGCACATAAAGGCTATGGACAGACAGTAAAAGCATACAAATAGGTATGACATAGGTCAGACTGACTGGTAAGCGAGGGAAAAGAGGTGGGTTTTTAGGCGGGACTTAAAAGCTTCAAGAGTGGGCGACAATTCAACATGAGGGGGCAGGTCGTTTCAGAGCCTGGGGGCTACCGATGAGAACGCTCGGTCTCCCCTGGTCTTTTTCTTTGTTTTTGGGACTACAAGCAGCAGCTGATCAGCCGACCTCAAAGCTCTTGAGGGGGTGTACACCTGTAAGAGGTCGGAGATGTACTCTGGGGCCAGCCCATTAAGAGATTTAAAAACAAACAATACAATCTTAAAATGGACTCTAAAATGGACAGGAAGCCAGTGGAGCGAAGCCAGAACTGGTGTGATGTGGTCAAACTTGCGGGTTCCTGTAAGCAGCCGCGCCGCAGCGTTTTGTACAAGCTGCAGGCGGGCCAGCAAAGTGTTATTTAGGCCGGTATAAAGTGCATTACAATAATCTAAACGAGTTGAAACAAAGGCATGAATTACACGCTCAAAGTTTAAAAAGGATAAAACCGGTTTGATTTTGGACAGGAGCCTCAAGTGATAAAAACTGGATTTAACCACAGAGTTTATCTGTTTATCTAATTTAAAAGCACTGTCGATTTTGACACCCATATTTGTGACCATGGGTATTGCATACTGTTGCAGGGAACCCAGGTCAATGGAAGGGACATCACCATTTGGTCCAAACACAATTACCTCCGTTTTGCTTTCATTTATATTTAAAAAGTTTAGTGCCATCCAGGCCTTTATGTCATTAAGACAGTCAACCAGGGGCATCAGAGAGCTAGTGTTTTTTCTTAGGGGTAGATATAATTGGGAGTCGTCTGCATAAAGGTGGTAGGAGACGCCATATTTTCTAAAAATCAGTCCAAGGGGGAGAAGGTATAAGGAAAATAAAATAGGCCCCAAAATAGAACCTTGGGGAACTCCACAGGATAAGGGGGAAGAAGAGGATGTAAAGTCACCAAGCGTAACAGAGGATCTCTTGGACAGATAGGACCTGAACCACTCTAAGGCAGCGCCCCTGATGCCCACACAGTGCTCTAGACCAGAGATAAGGATGGAGTGGTCAATCGTATCAAAAGCAGCTGTGAGGTCTAAGAGCATAAGGATGGCAGAGTCACCAGAGTCTGTAGTGACCAGGAGGTCATTGAACACTCTTAGAAGGGCAGACTCAGTACTGTGAAGCGCTTTAAAACCGGATTGAAAAATATCGAAAATATTGTGTGCATGTATAAAAGACTGCAGCTGCAAGAGTACCGTTTTCTCCAATATTTTTGAAATAAAAGGAAGCTTCGAGATTATCTTGTCTTTGCCAAAAACAGTTGAATCATAAAAAGCTGATTTAGCTTCATAACAGGCCTTTTTCATACCAGACATGTTGACTCTATAAAATGAAATGCACAGATGTAACTAACAATGTAACTAACTAAGCCAACCCAGAGATCTATAATGTAGAGAACCAGAGCCCCGGAACTGCTGTAGGTAATGCAAACCCTATTATTGTTATTCAAATCTAATCAAATCAAGTTTTATTTATATAGCACATTTATAAACGATTTTTGGTCGAGCCAAAGTGCTGTACATATAATAAAAATAGTCTACAGTAGAGACACTTTACAGCAGGTACAACAGCACAGATTGTTCAGAATATCAGTATGAGAAAAACGACACCCTCTATCCTTAGACTTATTAATTATGCCTCTGTCATTCCTGCCATGACAAGTCAAAATGTCTGCCCTGAAGTAGAGCCATTGTGTAGATGGATTAAAGCTAGCGCACCTTAATCCTGCCACACTGATCAGCCTGCTTAAGAATTTAAGACAGGAAGTGTCTGTGTTTTTGGTTGTGAAAAAATAGGAAACCCAAACTACAAACAAAACTTTATAACTTTGAATGAACTCCAAGTTTAATGTCAGGCTTAAAACCTTTTTTCATTCTGATGGTGGAGATAGCAAGTACTAGGCATGTAATGTCATAGCATCCCCAAAGTATCTAAACTTCATACCTGAATACATGTACTCGATTTGCCAAGTTGCCATATTTGAACTATGATGTATAATATCCCAGAGGCATGTGCACACAGCTTGCCAGGAGACACAGATGTGACTCATCAGATTTCATATCAGAATTGTCCATCTTTTTTCCCTCATTAGCATCCAAGTATATGTTCATGCACGGCCTCCACTTATACACAACTCTTATGAATTATTCATTCCCTTTTACCTGAATAAAAATTCAACATGAAACTTTATTGATATTTGGGCAGCTGACTCTTAACTATCAGAGTTAAGAGGTTTTAGCAAGCACCTGAACAAAACAATTGTACAATATTCTTTTACTAGATATTGTTATTACATTTTTAATATAGAGTTACTTTTCATAAGTCATCCATTTGATGCTATTATTGTCATTGCATAAAAATGAAAAATAATAGAATTGGGGATGAAAGGTTAAAAGCTTTAGATTTCATTTCTTATTTTGGCAGATTCAAAGCGTGAGTGTATAGAAAAGTTCGGAAAGCAGCCCAATGCTCGTATAGTTCATGATGATGACCAGATCTGCACCACAGAATACTCACGGATCAACCCTTTGGAGAATGGGGAGGTAAAATATAATTTTAATTTGTTTGAAAGTTGAACCAAATGTGCTATTTTTAACAAGGTAACAAAAACAATCTTTGTGTGCATTTGTGTTCCAGGTTGTGGTTTCTCTTGTCAACGGTCGGCCGGGGTCTAAAAACTTCACCTACTCGTCAGTGCTGCAAGACTTCACAACGGCCACCAACATCCGTCTGCGCTTCCTCCGCACCAGCACCCTGCTGGGCCACCTGATCTCCAAGGCCCAGAGAGATCCCACCGTCACACGCAGGGTGAGGAACAAACTGTACGACCTCACACAAAGGTGTCATGCTGGCAGACTCTTGTTTCCCATTTGGGCAAAGCCACATTAACAACTCTGCATCACCTTCCCTCCAGCTTGCTTTTAGCTGACACAGAATCGCTAACCACAATCTTCCTGATCACACATTTCTCAAATTTGCCAGGGACTGTTGCCAGGTCTGTCCAGTCATCATGATAATTCCTTACAGCTCATTAATGCTGCAAGTGCATATTAAAGCATTTCTACTTATAGCAGGAGAACACACGTTAATAAAAGGCTGTAGGGTTAGCATTACTTGTTTGAGTAGTGACTTAAGATATCTTGTACCAAAGCGACAGTAACATAGTCTAAACTAAAGTAAATCCCTTGAAGATGTAATTCCTGAATTGAAGGGTTCATTTCTGAAGCAGCTGATAAATTCTTCTTTATTTGGCGTGCTGAGAATAAATCAGTCATGTTAGCTGTGGATTCTTATCTTATCTCTTTTTTTCTAAATGCACTAATTCACCCTTATCTCTATTTTTATAATGCACTGATTCATCCAATAAAACTAGCCTTAGTGCATACGTTTGTACTAGTCGACCCGTGTGACTCACGTCTGCTCCAAAGCAAAGCCAGACATTTGTTCTGGTGTGGGTGAAGTTGCTGATAACACTGCTGTTACTTTGAAATGTAGCTGGTGATATCATTCTCCCTATTTGTTGACAGTATTACTATAGTATCAAAGACATCAGCATCGGTGGACGCTGCGTTTGCCATGGGCATTCACAGGTGTGTGGTGGGGGTCGTAACCAAGACAACCCAAACAGGTTAGTAATGCTCTTTGTCTTTGGCAATGCTGTAAATATTTGGCACAATCCTTTAGTTTGAAAAGCTCTGGTTGAAACATGTTTGATCACTTATTAATTATAACCTGAACTGGCTTTCTTATAAACATACTTTGATGTACAACTTCTTGTGTATTCATTAACAGAGCTCAATAGTCTTTTTGTACAATGGGCGTCTGTGTATAAACTGTGTACTGAAATGACCTAATGCTAAAAGCATGACAAAAACAGATATCCTGGCAGATCAAGCGATTTAAGTGATGTTCCTGCGGAAGGACAATTACCTTATTTGTTTGTACGTTGACATCACCATTGTAAAGGGCATCAGATTATGTTATTTACTCTGTTTACTGGCACAACGTTATATAACATTGTTAAAAGGGTAAGATGTACGATACAGTGCTGCTTTGAGCCACTGTAACCCTGTGTGTTCTGAACAGCCAAACAACAGGGCAACATAGCAGTCATAGATGCTTTATGTGCTTTATTGTTTACAAGCAAATAGAAGTACAGTCATTATTGGACTTAAATTCATGGGGTTGCCTGAAACAAGACTCCAAATGAATGCTAATGTTGTTGTGTCTGCTGTATAAATAGACAGTTGCGCGAACAAAAGATAATAAAATGTCTGTGGTAACAGGTAGGTCGACTGCCTCCAAGTGGCTAAATAAATGAACGTTAAAAGAAAATTCTTAAAAATCTGAGCATCACTAAATCCATCCTCTCCCATCAGCAGACTGCAGTGTGAGTGCCAACACAACACCTGCGGTCAGTCATGTGACCGCTGCTGCCCAGGCTTTCACCAGAAACCATGGCGCGTCGCAACCGTTGACAGCCCTAATGAGTGTCGGCGTAAGTGTCCATGTACAATGTCTCATTCAATGTGTAAACAAACCACACTCTGCTACTCCCCACCCTGCTGGCTTCTTGAATTATGACCCCCAGAGTGGACTGAAGTGTCCTCCTGTCTCTGATATTAAAGCCTTGTTGTGGATGCCCTGTTATGGTATTGTGGAGAGCCTCAGTGAAGAGTTGAGAGGACATTCCTCATATGGTATGTATAAGGAAGAGCACAGTGCACAACTAGCCCCGGGATATCAGCTAGGCAGCCAGCTAGCCAGGGCTCGCGCCAGGCAGCCTACCAGTTAGTCTGTCACGCCAGCTTATTGTGGAACCATGCAGTCAGCCAGCAGAGCCTCTGTCAGCTGGAATCTAATTGCTTTGGACTGTTGACACATTTTCCCTTGATGAAAAATAGTAGCAGCCACAAAAGAGAGAAAAAGATGAAGAAGACCCTAATCAGTGTACTCATATAGTGGAAATGCACCCTATCCTTTAATACAACTTTAAAGAGACACAAGGGTGGTATACAGGAAGAGGATGTGCCTTCTGGTTTAATTTAGGATTTTATAGTTTCTCCGCAGCTTAACAACCAGACTTAAAACTCGTTTTTGAGGAATTGTAACTTAAAGCTAAATACAGACTTGGGAGTGAAAGGTGATGAGGCACATAGGATAATTGTGTATCTCTCTCGGGGTTTCCTCCTCAGCCTGCCAGTGTTTCTCCCATGCCACTGACTGTTATTACGACCCAGAGGTGGAAAAGAGGAGAGCAAGTTTAGACACCTTCGGAAGGTACGACGGAGGAGGAGTGTGCATCAATTGCCAGGTAAGAAATGCATGTCAAGTCTAAACTGATTCCAGTGTGTGCCTGTGTGTTGTTGTAGGAAAGGAGGAGGGAATAATAAATGAAGAGAAATTCCATGTCGTCTGTGTGTATATTTAGTGAGACGTCTATGGAGCATTTGATACTGCACCATTTTGTGTTTGTGATGCCTAGGCACACTTTTTACAATCCATTTGCTACTCTAATAAATTGATTTTGTGTCATTTTCTTTTGTCAAAATAAAGTCTATTGAGTGGTAAAATATTGTGTTTGATATCATCAGGAAAAGTATACCAATGAAGAGAGTAAATGAAAGCAACAATGTGCAGAGATATTCTACTTTATAGAGCAAATTCTTTTAATCGGTGTCACAACATTTATGTGTTTGTGTCTTCTTCAGCACAACACTGCTGGAATGAACTGTGAGCAATGCCTGGAAGGTTTCTACAGACCTTTTGGAGTACCTCCCGAGTCTCCCACTGGATGCATACGTGAGTGGCGTTTTCTGTTTATTTAATGTAACATTGAAGTGCCTGATTTTCATTTTGGTGGGGTAAATATGGATTAAAATGATCATTGTTTGTGTGAGTGCTGCAGTCTATGAAGATTCGAAATCGGATTTAAAAAAAATGACAGCATCTTCAATTAATGCAATGTACGTGTAATAGGGAAATATTTAGCCTTCTTTTAAATATCCAGGCACACGTTTTAGATCTAAATAAAGTCTCACCATGTAGGTGTTTGATTTGCAATATATATGACAAAAGCCAAATCGGAGTTTTATTCACAGAGAGGATTCCACTTTTTGTTTGACACAGACACAAATGATCCCATTGCACAAGCACCACTGGCACCATGTCTTATTGCTAAACTGGGCTCCACTCTTGTTTACATTACTTTAATGGTCCATGGCTGTTCCAGGCCGTATACATAGCTGCCAGTTCTGTTTAGACATAGAGAGCAGTGGAATTAAACTGGTTGCCCTGAACATTTTGAAAAGTAAACCATAAGATCCTCAAACTCAATTAAGTCCGCTTAGCAGAGAAAGGTGTTGGTTTTGGCAAAAGCAGAGTCGATAAAGGTTCAGTAATCATTATTTGCTTCCCAAGTACCCAATGATGGATGGTTGAAAGCTTTCTCTACCTGTTACTGATATTTGAAGTACAGTTAATGTGCCTTGGCTTACAACCAATAATTCTGTGCTGTGATTATGTGTATGGACGTTTATTAGAGCTGCAAAGTCTAGTCGACTTCTCGATGAGTCAATAAATGGAAATATTTTGGTTATATTAACAAAGTATAAATAAATACATCTTTAAAGTATTATTTTAAGTAAAATGTCATTATAGCATATCAAACTGAATATCTATTTATGAAGTCTAAAAAAATAAGAGTGTGGCAGATTAGTTGATAATGAAAATAATTGTTTGTGGACATCATAGTTGTTGTTCTTTGTGTGGACAGACCCTAAGTCTCTGTAGATGCATCTCTAGGAATGCGTGAACATTTATCTGTCAATGTTAACTTGAGAAACAACAACATTTCCCCACCAGCCTGCAGGTGTGATGAGAGGACTGCAGCCGGCTGTGAAATGGGGTCAGGAAGGTGTATCTGCAAGCCACAATTGGCTGGAGAGAACTGTGATAGCTGTGCTGACGGATACTATTACTACCCTCAATGTGTTCGTAAGTATTTCTTTATCTTATCATATACTAGATATCCAATTTACCTTTACCCTCACCTATGTTCCTTTGAATCATGGACAACAGGGACAATTACATATCTGTGTTGTCAAGGTACACAGAGTGAAGTGAAACTGAACCCGTTGTTTGATGGCTGGAATCCGTTGCATGTTCACCTAGAATTTTGTCTTTCAGTCTGTTCCCCTTGAGGGAGGAGTACGACTTTTTGTTGGACTTGATGTTATGGTATACTCAAAGAAATATGCCGTAGGGCTTCACGCAGAAAGTTTCCACATGCCAAACCTGTCTATACAAATAAACCCAGATATTACACGCACTGTGAGAGTTACCCCATTTTATCTAATTCTGATCTAGCTACACTCAGAAGTCTGCCAGCCATTAAGCCACACAGTTTTTCATCTTCCATCCCCTTTGAGTAGTTTTCTTTCAAACCCTTAACTCAAGTCAAGTCCTTTTGAGGCCTCTTGTTAAACAGTGTTTCTAAATTGTAATAAACATCTAACTGACTGACTTTAATTTAACATTAAAAGCTTTACTTGTCTTTTTTCTAATCCTAATTATACCTCTCTGACAGTTTTATCTCAGAATACACAACAAAGCAACTAATCTGTGATTTATCTCTGTTGCTTTGTTTCTTATGTCATTTAAAGACAATTCAATTAGATGTAGACTGATGAGGTCAGACTTGGCATTTTATCAACAAGAGATAGATTTATAACTTGAAGCTATTATTAAAACTGTGTCTCTTGTCTCCTAGCTGTTAGCACTGACAAACTAGTCTAAACATGCTGACACAGTCATAAGGAGGTTGTCTTTCAAGAACTTATTTCCTTCTGTTCTGCTTCCCAGTTTGTACTTTTTTACAGCCTTAATGTGTGATAAAGTAGTTCAAAGTCGATTTAGTTTATTTCTATTAGAAGGCTATGAACCTTTATATGTAGTGATTACAGTGTTTATGCACTTATTTGCTTTTTTGCCAAAAGCCAGATGAGAGGGTTGATACTTTTCTTTTGTCTCCATGTTGATGACGGATATGTTGCAGATCGCTTAGGATAGCATAGTATTGTAATTGTAGCTAGCCTGGCTCTGTCCAAAGAAAATGAATGAGCACATTTATCTAAAACCACACCTTTTAATAATGTTTTCTTCCAACTGCATTACGTTCTTTTGTTTACAGGTTTATGTGAGTGTACATTTGAAATCCAATCCTATATAAAAAATAATTTCCCCACTGCTATAAATAAAGCTGACGATCACAGTTTCCCATTAGTGGAGGTCTTAATGTCATGCCTTTCCTTTGCAATCAGCATATCCTGTACACCAGGCGACCACCAAATCCCCTGCCGGACCTTTTGTGGGTGAGTTCAATCAACAAGATTTTGCAGTGTCTCTTAGCTCGATTTAGCTTGACAGAAGTCTTAAAGCAATAATTTAAAAGTCTATTACTGCCCTGCTTCTCCATAATTTGTACTGCTATCTACATATTGCCAACTTCTTGCCCTCAGGGTTATTGACTCACCGAGCTGTCAGCACGAGTTTGATTACAACTGATATATTGTGCTGTTTTAGAGGTGTTTACGCCACGCTATGTTAACTGCTTTTATTGCAGTTACTTTATCTAAAACAAACAAAAAAAAAACATGAAACTGTATCCTCTTGAAGCACTTTTGTAACAGGGCAGTCCTTTACCTTCGAGTCATATTCACTTACAGTCTTCCCAGGTTGTTAAAAAAGGCTTTAGAGGACCAGTCCATTAAGTCTGACTTTGAGTTAAATGTTAAGAACATGTGACAGGGGTCAGTCAAAAAAGGCTTCATGTATATCGGCATGACTAAAGGTCACATTATGTTTGTAGGCCTTATGAAAACAAAACATGCAATATATTATGATTGGGTTTCACAGGATGGTTAAAATACTGGTATAATATACGCCTGAATGATTAAATCTGCTGCTCAGTGACAGCCAATCTCTTGGAATTGTTTGGCAAAACAATCTTACGGTCTTGAATTATGATGTCCGTCAGCAGGGATTAAAGTTCAAGTGGTCTCTGTCCACTTTGAATAGCAATAGTCAGTTGGGACTGTGAGAACAAACCAGTCTATTATTAGTTATGCTCCTGTTTATAATTTATGTTCCTTATTCCCTTTTCTGGTTTCCTCCAAGCTGGGAAACCCTCTGGAATTGCTATTAAATCATGGACCTTTTAACCTGGTCTTATCATTTGTTAGAGAAAGTAAGGCAAGGCAAGTTTATTTATATAGCACTTTTCAACACAAGGCAATTGAAAGTGCTTTACAAAAAATGAAAGACATTAAGAAAATGGCATTTAAAATCAGTCATTAAAAAGAAAAGCTAATAAAATAAACATTAAAAGAAAAAATACATGGATAAAAGTTACAGTGCAGTCTAAGATATGAATGGTTCAATTAAACATTAAAAGAAAAAGTACATGGATAAAAGTTACAGTGCAGTCTAAGATATCAATAGTTCAATTAAAAGCAGCGACAAAAAGAAAATCTTCAGCCTGGATTTAGAAGTAGTCAGAGTTGCAGCGGACCTGCAGGTTTCTGGGAGTTTGTTCCAGATATTTGGAGCATAATAACTGAACGCTGCTTTACCATGTTTAGTTCTGACTCTGGGGACAGAAAGCTGACCAGTCCCTGAAGACCTGAGAGATCTGGATGGTTCATAATTTAGCAGGAGGTCAGAAATGTATTTTGGGCCTAAACCATTCAGTGCTTTATAAACCAGCAGCAGTATTTTGAAATCTATTCTTTGACACACAGGAAGCCAGTGTAAAGACTTCAGAACAGGAGTGATGTGATCCAATTTCTTAGTGTCAGTGAGGACTCGAGCAGCAGCGTTCTGAATCAGCTGCAGCTTCCTAATAGATTTTTTAGTGAGACCTGTGAAGACACCATTGCAGTAGTCGAGTCTACTGAAGATAAAAGCATGGACAAGTTTTTCCAAATCCTGCTGTGACATTAGTCTTTTAATCCTAGATATATTCTTTAGGTGATAGTAGGCTGATTTAGTAACTGTTTTAATGTGACTGTTGAAACTCAGGTCAGAGTCCATGACTACACCTAGATTTCTGGCTTTATCTGTTGTTTTGAACATTGCAGACTGAAGCTCAGCGCTAACTTTTATACATTCTGACTTGGCTCCAAAAACCATTACCTCAGTTTTATCTTTGTTTAATTGGAGAAAGTTCTGACACATCCAGTCATTGATTTGTTCAATGCACTTACTCAGTGTTTGAATTGGAGCATAGTCTCCTGGTGAAATTGTTACGTAAATATGTGTGTCATCTGCATAGCTATGGTAACTTATTTTGTTGTTTTTCATTATCTGAGCCAGTGGTAGCATGTAGATGTTAAAGAGAAGAGGCCCCAAGATGGAGCCTTGAGGAACCCCACATGTCATATTTGTCAACTCAGATGTGTATTTACCTATAGAAACAAAGTTGTTTCTGTCCTTTAAGTAGGATTCAAACCAATTTAGAACTGTTTCCGAAAGTCCCACCCAGTTTTCCAGTCGGTCTAGTAATATGTTGTGGTCAACAGTGTCAAACGCAGCACTGAGATCTAATAATACTAACACTGAAGTTCTGCCACTGTCTGTGTTTAAGTGGATGTCATTAAAGACCTTTACAAGAGCAGTCTCAGTGCTGTGGTTTGGACGAAAGCCTGACTGGAACACATCGAAACAGTTATTTAAATTCAAGAAATTACTCAACTGTTGAAAAACAACTTTTTCAATGATTTTACCTAGAAATGGGAGGTTTGATATGGGCCTGTAATTGTTCATTACTGAAGCATCTAGATTATTCTTTTTTAAGAGCGGTTTAATGACTGCAGTTTTCAGGGCCTGTGGAAAAATACCTGAGTGAAGAGATTTGTTTACTATATGAAGTAGATCTGAGGCCATGCAAGGCAAAACATCTTTAAAACATCCTGTTGGAATAATATCAAGGCAGCAGGAGGAGGATTTCAGAAGTTGTATAATGTCCTCTAGGTTTTTATCATTAATCTGATGGAATTGTGTCATGGTGTTTGAATTGATGTTAAGTGGACACAGAGACAAAACATTTGCTGTTCCTGATGCAGAGGCACTGACTGCTTGTCTGATTTTCTGAATTTTGTCAGTGAAGAAGGAGGCAAAATCATTGCACGCCCTGGTGGATAGAAATTCAGAGGCTACTGACACTGGGGGGTTAGTTAGTCTGTCGACGGTAGCAAACAAGGCACGTGCGTTGTTTTTGTTTTTGGTAATGATGTCAGAGAAGAACGATTGTCGTGCTTTTTTCAATTCCAAATTATAAAGGCCAAGTCTCTCTTTATAGATTTCAAAGTGAACCTGGAGATTTGTTTTTCGCCACCTGCGTTCAGCTTTTCGACATTCTCTTTTTTCTGCTCTCACGGTCATGGCCTTTCTCCTTGGAGATATTTTCTTGCCAGACACTTCCTTTACCTTAGTTGGAGCAATGGCATCTATAACATTTTTAATTTTTGAATTAAAATGATCTACTAGCTCATTTACTGAGATGTTAGCAGGGGCAAGTGTGGAAGAAAAATTCTGAGTAAACATTTCCCTAGATCAAAGTAGGAAAACAATCACTTCCCTTTAATTTGTTTAAAGAGTATGTCTTTCACCCTGATAGCTGACTGAGAAGGAGTTTTATCAGCAGCCTTCAAAAATCTTATTTTTATATGTTGAAGCTTAGGGGCAAGAAAACTGCGGCAGTCTCTGAGGTGGCTGTCCTGTCTTTGTGCCAAGTCTTTTCACATACCAATAACAACGGAGGCTTGGCAAGACGTGGGCACCAGCGTGGCCGTACCAGTGTGTGCCACAAAATGAGAATAGTCAACTGATGGAAGTATTTGTCATGTATTGTTATTCAGCTGCACCAAAGAAAGTGCTCTAAGCAGGCCCCAGGGTTCAACTAAGTTCTCATTGAAACTATTGTTGTTAGGATTTTATTAACTTTTATTGTTAAAATAATGATTTGGAATGTGTTCGTCTACAGAGTGTGTATGTGACAACAGAGGGACCTTGTATGGGGTATGCGACAATTCAGGACGCTGCCTGTGCCGTCAGAGTGTGGAGGGGGAGCGATGTGACCGCTGCCAACCAGGATACCACTCCTTCCCAAACTGCCAGCGTGAGAAGAATCCCCTTTCCAATGAGCATCAGTGTCACTTGTCTGAATCATTATAAAACATGAACTGTATTTAAAAAGATTGTCATGGGTTCAAAGACGGAATGCCATAAAAGGAAATGTGGGATTGTATCCACACGTCAGTGTAGCCCGTAGTCATATTTTGGACTAATTGCACCAGAATGGGGTTAGTGTGCCAAGAATTATAACAGTTTGTCCAGCCAGATTTTTTTTATTGTTACAGAAACTTTTTCTTTGTCTGCATGAACCTGCTTGATGTAGTTAGTTTACCAAGTACACTTTAAGTATGCTCATTGTTTGGCCATTAACTCTAAAGTAAAGACTTTTGACACTTGATCTTGAGACTCAAGAAAAAACATTCCCCAGGGAATCTTGCTTAATATGAAATGGTGCAGACAAATATGGAAAAATACCAAGATACTCCTTTGTCAGATGAAATGACATTATAAATGTGTTCTTCTAGCACATATACTGTAGCTGACCAAAGGGGATCAGCTCTAGGTTTTCTTTAGGGTCGTTAGTTGTGTCAGCACCACTTGATATTAAGCAAGACTTCCTGGTTGCATTTATTTGTAATCTTATATATCTTATCATCTTATCATCACACAATGTTTATACAAATTAATGTTTTTATGTATTATATTTAATGTTCATTTTAACCATTGTTATGTAGATTTTAATGAACCATGCAGTACGGATAAAAACATGTTTGACCATTTTGATTCTAATGAGAAATAAGGAGTGTCTAACTGTACAAATGTGCACCTCTTGACCCTCTCTCTCTTCCGCAGCATGTGCCTGTGAAGGGGCTGGTGTGACAGGCCGTATGTGCAGTCCCAATGGTCAGTGTATTTGCTTTCCCAACTATGCTGGGAACGAGTGTGACGAATGTGTCCCTGGCTACTATGGATACCCAGACTGTGCCGGTGAGTGGCTTTGATCCCTTTTTGCCATCCACTGTAACTAAGGCAGATACACCAATTGGGTGCATCAGATCTGAGTCCAGGTGGAAAAAAGGCAGCTGCTGTGCCAACTGTGGCCTCTTCTCATGACTCTGTGGAGCAAACATGCTCATTCTCCCACAGTAGCCTGTAAAAACCCTCTGTTGTCCTCCGCATGTATTTAGACTATTAATGTACTCTGCACGACACAACGTTTCACTGACAGCGGGAGCATGAGAAATATATGGACTTCTTCTTTCTAGGGAATCATATTCCCAAGAATAGACAGCTGGGAATCATAGAGGGAAATCAGAATTTGGCAGGAGTATTTGTGAACAATTATTTCATACCAGATTTCGAACAGATTAAAACAAATTGAAAAACAGAATACCGTATTGTTAGAATACAGTATTTATCAATATTCATAATACTATTTATATATATTCAACATAAATATTCATAATAATAAATCAGTGTCCGAAAGGTAGCAGGAGGAAGCAAATGCTTATTAATTCCCACACCTTACTTACTGCTGATCAATGATTATCCTTTAAATGATTTCTGCAAGTTATTCCTACTTACATATTTATACATAAATGTACAATAATTTATCATCTTCAATCACCTTTCTTCATTCAGATTCACCTAACCTTAATGAAAGGCTTATGTAGTGGCCAAAATCATATAGAAATTAAACTGATAATTAACTTAAAATAACACTGAGGCACTAGTTAGCGGAACTTACGCAGTGCAATGATCCAGGTCCAGACAAGAATCTCCGTTTGTGCATGTATTATATGATCCAATATCATTAACAAAGGACAGTCATCAGGTTTCCTATATTTCTTTCCTATGGCTTCCTTCCTTGTGGCTTGGAATACCCTGGTAAAAAAAAACATGTGCCTACTAGTGCTCTGGCTCCCACCACCACCTGTTTCCAATATATACAATTACACCAGGTGCTCTAATCACCCAGTGCCCAAACATGCCTTCAAAATAAAAGCATAGAAACTACTTACTTACTATAATGACAATAACTAGTAATACATTTACTATAAACAGCAGGAAAATCAATGTTAAACTATTACATAATATAAAGTGATATATAGCTCCAACTGCTTATATTGAACAAGTTCTTACTTCAACATGTTTCCTGTCCACAGTCTGCCAATGTTCACCGGAAGGCTCTTATGGCAGTATATGCGACCCCTTGTCGGGTCAGTGTCTGTGTCTCCCAGGGGTGGTGGGCCAGCAGTGTGACCGCTGTGCCTCTGGACTCCGGTTCCCCCAGTGCTCAGGTAACCACATCAGGAACCATCATACTCACAAATAAAATCTTATTGGGGAAGCAGTTACGTTTAATCATTTAAGTTCAGTAATGTGCTTTTGTTGAAGGATATAATTTCTAAATATTGACAACCTTTAAGCCATGTTTTTGTTAACTTTGTGGTGTGTTTCTTTGTGCTTCTAGCCCCCATCAGTGCGTGTAACTTATCAGGAACCGAGGTCACTGATCCTCAAACGGTATGGCACTCTTGATAAACGTACTTTATTATCTACCAAAGCCCAACTTTTATCATTTCTTTATTAGCCTTGATAACATAAATGGTCACTGTCTAAATCGAGCACTGGTCCCTTTGGGTGTGGATTTGCATTACCTCAATGTTATATAACTGATAACACAGATGTTCCTCAGTAGATTTTTTCTAGGAAGTGTTTTTTTCCCTGACATGTAAATGCAATTAAAATGACGGAAATAAGGCTTCCTTTCATTTTGAAGTGGAAGAAAAACAATGCCTTGTTTCTGGAAGTTTGCTTTCCCCCTCTATTTTGGACCATGTGATATGTATGAAACGCAGAAAAAAAGCTAATTTCCAGTCAGAAAAGTTGCAGTGCTGCCAACGGATACCCTGCCTTTCAATAGTATTCTCAGTTAGAACAACCCTTAGATTATTTTCTATTGTTTCAGGGCTTCTGCCGCTGTTTACCAAGCGTAGAGGGAACGCTGTGTGACAGCTGTAAACCTCTCTACTGGAACCTCGCTTCTGAACCCTCCCGTGGCTGTATAGGTAAATGAACAGTCTGGAAATCTTTTCTATAACTATTATCAACCTAACTTTGTGAACAGTATAATACAAAAATAGGTAATACTTTGTTGTCCTCCTATCAGCCAAAAGTATCCTGGTCTCATTTGTTTTCTCGAGGAGTCTTAGTTATTTTTTCCCACTGTAATAAATCCCCAGTAGCACTTTTACAAGGCACTGATATGGGTCTTGGCACCTCTTACCCAGAGTATATGTCAACATTGCCCCTGTCAACAAGGTCGGATCTGCCTTCGTGTCTCTCAGAGGGGATTTGAGAAACAACACATAAATACAGGCAAATTCCTGTTAACAGCTTTGAGTGTGGAGCTGCAGGTGAACCTGTGAGCGTTCATGCTGTGACTTTGCAGTAATGAGCACCCAGTAGCACACCGAAAACAAAACCTTTGGACTCTTTCACCATCACAGAGAAATTACTCTAATCCTTTAAAAATGCTTGATTTTGGGAATAATAACATTGATCCCATTATCCAGCTAGTGAGGGAACAGCTTCTGGCTTTGTCCAGACACCTGTCTAATGTTACAGAACAAGAATGTTGTCACAACTGCACTGCTTGAAGAAACAAGACAGGGGATAAAATAGCTTTTTTAATATCCAAAGAATGCCTCTGGTTGACTGGCCGGACATTAAGGGGAAGTTGTTTTTTTCACTTAGTTGAAAGCAAGCCAGGGCGGAAAAGCTTCTCTGGACCTTTGATGTGTAGATCTTTAAAGATTGTAGGGATTTCTGCCATTGCGTTTCACCCATGAAAGTGACAAAATCCTGTAATCAGAGTCTATTCACTGTGGATCCTCCTTTATACTCTCGCAACCTCTCCCCCCCCTCTCATTCCAGAATGTCGGTGTGATGTGAAAGGGACCCTGAGTGGAGTAGGAGAGTGTGAGCAGGTGAGTATTTTATTATTACCTGCAGTGCCTGATACTCATCTATTAATCAAAGTGTCATTCAAATTAGACACATGTCATACAGAGTTTTGACTGAATGGCTTGAAATGTTGTAACAATTATTTTGTTTGTCTTGAATTCTCCTAATCATCTGTTTTTCTAGAAAAATGGACAGTGTCACTGTAAACCTAATGCATGTGGACATGAATGTGAAACCTGTAAGGATGGATTCTACCTGCTGCAGAAAAAGAATTATGTTGGCTGTCAAGGTAAGTCATCTTTCACACACTGTTTTTTCTGAGCCTTGCAGCGGTTTAACGTAACATCATTGGATGGTTAGAGTTGCAACACATTTCAATATTCCAGCCAGTGAGAGCAGGGGAACATTGTGTTTCAGTCTGGTATTAAGTATTCTTTTAAATCAATATATATCAAATAATGACTTGTACTCTCTCTGACAGGTTGTCAGTGTGATGTAGGCGGTGCAATTGGCACGGCGTGCGATGACATCTCGGGACAGTGTTGGTGTCGTAAGAATGTAGTGGGCCGTCAATGCACTGAGTAAGATGTGGTTGCTTTGAATTTCAAAATGCATAGAAGTCTAGAAAAACGCACAATATACACTGTAAATGTAACAGTTTGAATGTAAGTCTTCCTGCACCTTGTTAGGCCAGCACCAAGCTACTACTTCCCCTCTCTGCACCAACTAAAGTTTGAGGTCGAGGATGGCACCACGCCAAATGCCAGACCAGTGCGCTTTGGTTTTAACCCCAAAGAGTTCCCAGATTTCAGCTGGAGAGGTTATGCTGTAATGTCTCCTGCACAGGTTAGTACATATTCACAACAATACCTTGATATATTTGATACACTAATGTGATTATTCTTATAAATAACAGTATGAGCAGTCTATACTTGGATCTATCTGCTGCTTCAATCAACTTCTATAGCTTCCTTTTTCAGTCTATCCTGATGATTGTTTTGCTTTTACCTCTGCATTGATACTCCTATTCGAAGAACACACTCTCTATTATATCATGGCTGTTGGAGAAGTGGACACCAGCTCTCTTTGAACTAACACCATCTCTCTTCAGCCGGAGGTGATCCTCTCGCTTACCCTTGGCTTTCCTGGCTCTTTCCATATTGTAATGCACTACTCCACCCCTAAAAGAAAGGGGAGAGCACGAGTGAGAGCAAGGATCTTGGTGGTGGATGAAGCTGGTTTTCATTCTTGCTGTGACTGTAAGTGAAGGGGCTGCCTTCATTTGGCTGTGTTTTCCTCTCTTCATCTTGCTTGTTATCTGTTGATTAACCCTCTCACTGCTAAAGTACTCTGCCCATCTGACACTATTTTAACCTTTAACATTAAACCCTCATTTACCCTCGTCTACTCAAAGCCATGCAGATTTAGTCAGCTGTGTGTCATTCTCCTCCCCGCAGAGTGAAGTCAGAGTAACAGTGCATGTTGACCCAAAAGATGAGAAGCAGAACTTATACCGTGTGGTTCTGAGGTTCACTAACCCGAAAGGCACCAGTGTGACCGGTAGCATCAAGGCTACCAATAACAGAGGCACTCAAGGTGAGGCTGCCTCTGATTCAGCTCTTACATTTCATATCATCATAACCCATCATTGAATAAATACAATAAATAACACATTTCCTGTAATATTCAAGCCCGAGTGTCATTCTTATGCTGATGTCCCAATCGTCAACCGTAGATGTGTCGCATTTAAAACATCCGTGCTTGCTGTTTTCCAGGTTCTGATCAGAGTAAGGAAGTAATATTCCCTGAGAGTCCCTCCCCATCCTTCCTCACCATCCCAGGAGAGGGCTTCGCTGAGCCCTTTGCAATGACCCCTGGGACATGGACCATTCACATAAGGGCGGAGGGGGTCCTGCTGGTGAGTTTATGAGAAAAAGAAAGATGTAGAATAACAATAAATGTACAAAAGACTGAAATAGGGCTGTCACAATATTAGATTTTCACTACACAATTATTGTGTCCAAAATAAGACATAATACCACTGTTATGGCAATATCTTTTAATACAATTGAATTGAATGCTTTCAGTCAAATCAGTTATTTTGTTGTTTTTGGGCATATTGTCTTCTTTATGCTAAATTAAGTTCACCTAAAAAATACTATTGCAATGCACTTAGACTAAATAGCGTACACATATCTCTCTCCCTCTCCAGGACTATTTAGTGCTGCTGCCCCGGGATTACTATGAGGCTCCTCTGCTGCAGGAGAAGATCACCCAGCCCTGCACTTACTTACTCCCTGCAGACAAGGATACAAAGTAAGTCTTTAGATAGTCTGTGACTATGACTTATCACTCCTGCATGGGATAGGAATGTTTTGTTTTTATAGCCATACATCATTTTCTATATACTGTACAAACAGTTCATACAGATAATGGATGGTTCCTAACTTAACACAGGTGTTTTTTTAGGCTAGAATGAACCATAAAATATATATGATTTGCTACACGCCAAAGGAAAAGAAGAAAAATTAACAACTTTTTCAAAACTATGCAGAGGGTATACAAAGCATATGGCAATCTGTTCCAACATTTTCCTTACAATAACTGGTATGCTAAGCAGTGTTTTGTATATATGTTACATTTTCTTTCTTCTAAAACAGCATGATTATATAGATATATTTAATCTTTCCTGCTCACTGCCTCTGCCTGTATGTCTCTCTCAGCTGTCTGCTGTATAAGCATGTGTCCATGGATGGCTTCAGCTCTGCTCTGGGATCACAGGGAATCCTCTCCAGCCGCAGCGGGCGCAGGAGGAGGCAGACTCGTGTGCGCCGTCCCACCCCAGCTCACCCTGAGATGGCCACTCTCAATGGCCGACAGGTAGGAAAGACTGGATTTACGTACAAGCCCATACAGTACTACAGAGAGTTTTACCCAATTACTTTTGGAGTCCTTATTTTGTTTCAATATTTTACCTTTCAATCAGGAGTAGGTGGAATACAAAGCTATAAAATAGACTGAGGTCATTTGGCTGGATCTTATCTGCCGTTTCAAAGTCCAGAATAATAGTTGGCTATTGAACATACCATTATAATCTTTACTGATTGCTTTTATACCTCCCTTAAGCAGTTTTTTTTTTTTATTGGAGCTGCATAAAGGAATACTTCACACCCAGTGACCTTATATATATCAATAAACGACCCTGTGTTACAATTAATTTTTATTTTATTGTGTTGTTATTGCATGCCTCTTTGGTGAACAGGTACCTATTTAAGTTTATTTAGTGAGCATATAAATGGATAGCTAGAACTATGAGTAAAACAATGATATACACAGGATCATTTTGGGGGTAAAGTATCTCCTTTAAATTCACTAAACTGACTTTGTATGACCTATGTCCTGTAGTCTCAGCTCCAACTCAGTGTACGTGTGCCTCATCCTGGCCAGTACGCTCTTGTCCTGGAGTATGCCAGCGAGGTGGACACTGTCCAAAATGTCAACATACTCATCAGTGGCGAGTCAGGGGGCCAGATCCCAGCCAGGGCCAACATTTACAGTTGTGCGTACAGGTGAGTCTGAATTTGTATTTGTTGCTTCACCTTCCCAAACAATTGATGTAGTCGTTTTTTGAGCTATGGCTTTGGACACAAAATGAGTGTTTCAAAGCTAGAAGTATATTTTCAACTGTTGTGTGTCGTTTGCAGCTTTTTGTGCCGGAGTGTTGCAGTGGAAAGCAGTAATAAGGTGACAGTGCTGCAGTTGGATCATAAGACGGAGGTTCTTCTGCAAACCTCCACTACATCATTCCTGCTGGTGAGGGAAATATTTTCACAAAAGAGTTATAATAGCTCTAGATAGCAGCATGTAATTTAAATTAATATTGTTTTCTTTCTGTAGTATAAAGTGTATGCAGTCCCTATAGAGGAGTTCTCCCTGGAGTATGTGGATCCAAAGGTGCTGTGTGTCTCCACTCATGGCTACTTTACTGAAGACAGGTAGGTCACCTTGAATAAACTCCATTGCATGCTTTTAATAACAACACTTGTGTAGTAATTTTAGGAGAAGCTGCTAAATGACTAGACATCTGTATTGTGTTGTTGTTCTGGAGGGTGGAGACACACACCTGTTTTCTAGGTTCTGTTGCACACATTCTTCCAGCTGTGTAAGGTCATTTAACTGAGTTGGAACTGAGGGTCAAACTCTCTCTTACTCTCGCTGTCACACTCAATTTACGCTCTAAAGACCAGGTCACAGTTACAAATGTGTTAACAGCTGTCAGTGTGCAGTCCCATTATTTTCTACAAGTATGTAGTAATTCACCATGAACAGTGTGGAAAAAAAGCCACCTCAAAAGGGAAACATGTCACAAATGAAATTGTGGGAATTGATTTGAAAATAAAGACACATTTTTCAATTTAACTTACACACACATAGACATGCAATGATGGCAAAAAGAATGCAATAAAAACACTTTATGTTCATGGTTTTGAAACAGTTTTTGTTTCTGTGCTTTTGATTCATTTATCTCATGGGTTATTTAAATACTTTGAGTTACATTTCCTATTGTTAAACCATTTCCAATACTTGTTATTGGATCATTTCCAATAACACGTTCCATATTTACAGAATATTAAATATTCTTTGAGAAGTAGAGAGAAAAAGTAGGAAATGTTGTGTTTGTGCCTGTTTTTGTGCAAATTGAATACCAAATCTTAAAAGAAAATTGCACATAGGGAGGCAGACGAGAAGAAGGTTAACCTGCAACCTGAAGCCAGAGTGTTAGCCTGTAAAACGAAAGCTTTCCTTAGAAGTGTGTGTATATTTAGTGTGTGATGTCAGGATATCTGCACATTGATAACCAGAGGATTTCAAGATTTAAAAAAGGATTATTGGAGATTATTGTTGTTTCACTAGCAACTGACACATCTCCTAACAAGTGACATTGTTCTGCTACAATCGCGCTTGGCCAATCCTATCAACAGGCTTTCAGTAACAACCTCTTGTTGCTGTTTACTGTTTCCAGTCGGGACTGTGTTCTGAGGCAATTCGACAAGCCAGCCTCAGCTTTGATACTGTACGCTGCCACTGATGGACAGCTCTCTTCAGCACCGGCTGTTTCTCCCCAACAAGGAGAGAATGAGGATTGGAGACAGAGACGACAGACCGGGGTCTTCCCTGTCTGTGAACCTAACAGTGATGGGATTCTACTTAAATTTCCTCAGGTAAAAAACCTTGTTGAATAATTTGAGATTTTCTGGACTGCTGGGAGCTGGAGGAGTTCAATGAGCCACCTCTGCCGTGACATACATTTTCAATTACACCACGACTGTTTGACACTGAAGCTTTTTTCTTTTTTCCTTCCACAGACGGAGATCAGTTTCACTCCCAATGTGCCCCTCCCGGGCAGGTATGTGGTGGTGGTCCATTATCACCAGACTGAACATACCTCCTTCCCCGTAGAGGTTCAAGTGAACGCAGGGCGGGAATGGAAGGGTGAGTGTGTGGGAGGAAGTCTTAGGCGGACTCCTGTTAAATGAAATATAATTACATTTTTTATCGGCTCCCATTGGATATAAGTGTGGTTACTCACAGGGGAATAGGAAAGCCTTCTCAGTGAGGGGGTTTTCCTCCATAAAAGTAGATTAAGTCTCTTGGAGGATCAAAGGACCCGGACACACTTCCCTATATGGCTTCAGTTGTGGGACGGATTATTGTGCAGCATCCTCTTTCTCTACTTAACTTAATCTTTGCTTTTCTATTACAGGTTCAATAAATGCCTCTTTCTGCCCCGCGGTCTCAGGCTGCAGGGCGGTTGTGATCGCTGATGGTCGCATTGCCCTTGACTTTGAGCCGAATTCTTGGCAGCAGCCCACCATCTCTGTGATTGTGCCACCTAAGAAGACACTTACTCTGGTCCGTGGTTGAGTCAAACACAGTTCAAATGATTTTTCCCTCCAAAACTAAATAAATGAATAAAGAAAATAAATAGCAAGACATACTTCTGTGCAAGTCTACAGGTTTGAGGGACACGTCTGTGTTTTGCCCTTGAGTAGATGCTGTAGAGAGAGCACTTGGCATGCTTAGGTCCTCTTTCCTCAGTGTTGTTCCATATCCCAACAAAAACAATGAAGTGACTGTATTCCACCTGACAGCCCCTCTCAGCTTTCTTAAAGCTACACTTCCAACCTCTGTAAGACAGGCGCAGGTTGGGCTGTAGTTGCCTGTTGTTCACTTGCTTTTCTTTCCCTTCTTTGGATCAAATAAAAGACTCATATGTCGCTGCAGTTGAAATCCTCAGTTATCTGTTTATCATCTTCTGCACACTGATCCTCACACTGATGTGAATACATAAAGCACATGACAAACACACTTGAAGTTACTGGTGAGATATTTTTAAATCATTTGTTGTGCCTTTTTTTTTCTTCTGTGCAGGATTATATCATGTTGGTTCCTGATAGCAGTTACACCCCAGATCTCCTGAAAGAGAAGCCACTGAATAAATCTGCAGATTTCATACAGCAGTGTCGAGGAGAAGGGTTCTATATTGAGTAAGTATCCACCATGTCTGTAGAACAAGCTTGACTCAAATCAATTTAAAATCTAAACATTTAATCCGTTTTTTATTTATCTTTATCTTATCTTACTTTTGATATGCTCTTCTGTCTTTATCTAAGCTTGTGTTGTTCTTTTAGTGCATTTTTTGTTTGGCAGTGCTGCAATTTCACAATCATAAACAGTACCGTGGAAGTTTTTGAAAATGGTGCCCTCTAGCTGTAAGAGTAGAGATTAAAACCACATACTCTTTTCTCCCCTCAGCCCGAATACTTCTCCCCAGTTCTGCAGAGACTCCGCCCGTTCTCTTGTAGCAGCCTTTAATGACGGAGCCCTGCCTTGCAACTGTGATAAGTCTGGCTCTACAGGCACCACCTGTGAGCCGATTGGAGGACAGTGTCCCTGCAGGCAGCATGTCATTGGTCGTCAGTGCACAAAGTGTGCCACGGGATACTACGGCTTCCCCTACTGCAGACGTGAGTCAACGGTTACTTCTGACTTCTGAATGTGAGACTATCTAACCTAAATAGTTTTTAAATGTAATTGAAATCCCTTCTTTCCTTTCTCCAGCATGTGAGTGTGGCCGCCGCCTGTGTGATGAGGTGACAGGAAGCTGTATCTGCCCTCCTCAGACAGTCAAACCTTCCTGTGATGTGTGCCAGAGTCAGACTTTCAGCTATCACCCGTTGCTAGGCTGCGAGGGCTGTGAGTGCTCTCCAAATGGCATTCAAGCAAACGCAGGGCCTGACTGTGACCGAACCACAGGACAGTGCAGGTGAGGGGGAAACATACTTAAAACAAAGCTGTGCACTTATTAAGAGTAATGGTTTGGCTTTCAACAGATACAAAGGTTAATTAAAGAGTGTTCACAATATGTTTGATCTTAATTCCTGCATATAATACAAGGGAACATAATTGGACATGTTTCAGAACCTAATGCTTTTATACTGTTTCTGTGCTATTTCATTAATTTATCTCATGGGTTATTTAAATACTTTGAGTCACATTTCCTATTGTTCAACAATTTCCAATATTTGTTATTGGATCATTTCCAATAACAAGTTCCATATTTACAGAATAAATATGTTTTCGGAAAGAGACAAAAAGGAGGAAATATTGTGTTTGTGCCTGTTTTTGTGCAAACGAAATACCAAATCTTGAAATAAAAGGGCACACAGGGAGGCAGACCAGAAGAAGGTTAGCATGCAACCTGAGTGAATAAAAAATCCTCATTACTTTAAAATGCAATAACCACATGCAATGTTTCTGTTATGTATGCCTTTTTTATGTTAACTATAGATTTGCTTTAGTCTACTCCTGGTCAGTTGTGTTGTCACTTTATTACAAAAGTTGTATTATTTTATTTCACTTCTTAATTTCTATTACTTATACTTAAAGTGATTAATGAGGGGATCCGTTCGCAGACTCGTCATGTTGATCATATTTTCTGTCATATATATTTGCAGTCTTTAAATCAGCCTGACCTCTTTGTTAATAAAGAAACAGTGGAAAGCATTCCCAATCAGCATCTTAAAGCAATATACTGTACAGGAATGCATAATGGGATTATATTTAAGGCTATTCAATATAGACTTAAATACTTTTTAAATCTATGAATCATGTTTATCATCCAGATTTTGACTACAAATAATGTGCTTGTGTATTTTTCTGTAGTTGCAAGCCTAGGATTGCTGGCCGGCAATGTGATCGCTGCGCTGCAGGTTACTATCGCTTCCCTGACTGTGTACCATGTAACTGTAAAGAAGATGGCGTCACAGCCGACATCTGCCACCCAGACACAGGGAGGTGTCTTTGCAAGGTGAGTTCAGCTGATTCATAAACTCTCTATCGCTTATTATTAGTCTTTCCTTGCTCTGACTTCCTCTTCATTATTGCTGCCATGTTTGTAGAGAAATGTTGCAGGCGTCAAATGCGAAACCTGTCGGGAAGGTTCCTTCTATTTTGACCCCTCCAACCCTCACGGCTGTACTAGCTGCTTCTGCTTCGGGGCGACTAACCTGTGTCAGAGCTCCAGCAAACGCAGGGGGAAGGTGTGTTTGCTTTTCGTGCCCATGCATGTCTATAAATGCCTTTGGAAATGTTGTGCCCTGCAGAGCTTTCTGGCTGATAGCAGCTATATGGTGAAAGTAATTTATTTAATGAAAAGCTACGCATACAGATGTTCAGTAAAGAACCGACAATTGCATGGTGGTGATTTATTTGGGATCTGGGTAAATTCTGGGATTCATCTCTTATTGTTTGTAACATGTCTATATGTATAAGATAGAAGACAGCTATCATTTGTTAATCGTGAATACAGTGAGATTTTTGGATGGATTTTTCAATTTACGCCCCAAACTCTCCCCGTTATAAGTTTGTTGGGATGCGAGGCTGGCGTTTGGAAAGTCCCGACCAGGAGGAGGTTACCTCTGTCCTGAACACAGCCAGCAACACAGTGGTGGCAGACATCCAGGAGCTTCCCCCAACAGCTCAAACTCTACACTGGGTGGCACCATCGTCCTACCTGGGAGACAGGGTGAGTGATTGAAGGAAGATACCATGACGGAAGAATGAAAATAAATGAGTAGGCTAACTAAGGTTTAGGTAGGGAAACAGATACAGTATTTCCAGAGTTGGAGCTTTAAAGTAATGTTATGGACCCATCAAAAGAAAAATACAAAAACAATAAATAGTTGTATTATTTTATTTGAGTTCTGGTGTTTTAATAGTTTTCAGAAATCTTACCGCCTTAAAAACTAAACTTGTTATTTAAATGAATCATTTTGAAGTTTAATTGTTGTACCGCATCGCATCAAATACCCTTGTTCATAGGGATCACGTTTTTTCAATGCAGTAGAGCATTGTAATGGACATCTCAGTTAACCATCATCCTCCTGTCACACCTTTCACATGTGTTTTCACTTCCTTAGTTATAGGACTCCATTTTAAGAAATGTTGCAATGTTCATAAAATCTTTATATAATATATCATATATTTATATTATTAGATGCAATTCTATCATAAATGATAGAAATTTATAATAATGATGGTATTCTTCCTAGTTGTGATATAAGACCCAGGTTATATACTCTAGATCAGGGGTGTCAAACAAAATTTCATCGCGGGCCACATTCGCATAAAGTTTGCACTCAAAGGGCCGGTTGTAACTATATAAATATATAATATATATATATAAAATAATGTATTATATTACATAATTGCCTCTGAATTGGATTATTATCGGATAGGATAATAACTTAGTAATTAACTACGTCTGAAAGCAGAAGTCCAGGGCAAATAATTGCAAGTCTCTTCAGTGCGCATGTCACAAAACGAGATGCTTTGTGGGACATGTAGTTTATGGGCAACCTGCTTCTGTAAAGTGGCATGTAACCATATCATAAACGTATTATCTTCTTTGCAAGCTCTTGCGGGGCCACATAAAATGAAGTCGCGGGCCGGATTTGGCCCCCGGGCCTTGAGTTTGAGACCCCTGCCCTATATACTTTTCCTTTAAACCAGGAAATCTGTTATTTCAGATTAGCTGACAGATATGTATTTATGTGTCTTTCTCTTAGGTTTCATCTTATGGTGGATTCCTCACCTATCAGTCCAAATCCTTTGGGATTCCCTCTGAGGGGATGACCCTCATGGACAGGAGACCTGATGTTGTGCTGACTGTGCGTAGTGCTACTGGTTTCTCACTCACAAACCTCTTATTTTGTTATCACTGGCTTATTTATCCATCTTATTTATCCATCCTATTCTCCCCCCCCCCTTTAGGGTCAAGATATGACCCTGATCCACATGGCTCAACAAGTCCCACTCCCAGACAAGCCGTATCAGGGCAGAGTCCAGCTCTTAGAGGTAAAGTACAAACCAGTTCCTCCATTCTGTTAAAAATAGTAAGCAATTAAAAAATGTATTCATTAAAACAAAGTTATTTTTATTCAATGGGAATCTACCTATTAGATTTCAAAATGTGTTTTTGTAACTTGTGTGATGTATATATTGAAAGTGACACTATTTGAATTATTTAATTGAAAAAGGCTTAATCATCTGTGGAGTTTAAATGTGCTTGCGGGAAGTTTACAGCAATTTTGATTAGTGTTCTTACAAATGTTTTAAACTGGGAAAAAAGCTGAACAATCATAACAAAGGGAAGTTACATTTTACAAAAGCACTCAGCACTGATTATCTTCAGACCTTCTTTTTTTAAATCTTCAATTTAACTTTAAGATCGGAAAAGAGCAAAAAATAAACTAATGTTTTGTTCTTCATATATTTCAATGTAACTCCTTTCACCAACATTTTGATTAGTATTTGTAATTTGAATAAAACATATCTCTCTCTCAGTAACTGTAATTATTTTCAATAACATACATTTTGTTATTTAATGTTTATTGCTTTAATTTTTTATTCTTATTATCCCTAATTTTGTACTATCTGTGTTTCTCACTTATTCTGTTGCTGCTTTAACACCTGAATTTCCCTATAGGGATCAATTTGAGGTCCATCTTATCTTATCTTATAAAACGTTTACATTATTCTCAAAACACTGTGTATAGTATTGTGCACTCTTCCTATTTATAATGATGTGGAATCCAATGTAATATAATTCTTTGAAATGCAGATTTCTCAGCATTCATCACTAACTGACCTTTGGTGTGCAGGGGAACTGGCGCCATGCGGTCAGCAGCAGGCCTGTCTCCAGAGAGGAGCTGATGACGGTCCTGGCTGCTCTCGCTGGCCTGAGGATCCGAGCCTTGTACTTTACTCAGACCCAGCGACTCAGCCTGGGGGAGGTGGGCCTGGAGGGGGCCACAGAGACGGGCACTGGGGGTCCTGGAAACACTGTGGAGGATTGTTCCTGTCCCTCTGAGTACACTGGAGACTCCTGTCAGGTGAGGAGTTAAAAGACAATCAAATATCCCTCAATACTGCTTCCTCTTTATTGGTTCTTGAATACAAGGTATAAAGGTGTAGATAAATGTTAAAATATTTTATGATTTACACTTCATGTCATTTTCAAATAAGATGGTGTCTTAAATTAACTGTATAGGTTGTAAACACAATAAGGACAAATTAGTAAAAGAATATTTAAAGCAACAAACAAATGTAGAGTCTTTTTAAATGTTTTGAATACTGTCTTCTTGGATGTAGCCTAACCTTGGGAAGGAATTTCTCTTTATTAATTTGTCCGTACTGTAAAAAACTTCCTTACCAATAAAATACATAAGTGTGTCAACGAACTAGACAGGGTGCATTTTTTACATTTTGTTAAGGTCTGAGAAACAGTAGAGATAACAAGCAGGGTGGAGCACAATGTTCATTAAAATGGCATCTTGTCACCTTTGAGGAGCTGGGCCTCCTCCTTATATCTTTGAGGGTGTCCTGACACGCCTGAACCAAGTACCACACCCTTTTCGAAGAGAAAATTCATCAGCGGAGGAGCTTTGTTTGTAATGTACTGGAAAATACCAGCCGTGGATCTTCACAGCCAAATTGTGTAGCCCCAGGCTGGGGAGATGATGCACAATCACGCAGACATGATATCAGTGATTATAAAGCTATACTCACTGGCATAGCTACGGCTCACAGGAACATAGTGCAAACAACGTTGATGTAGTTGGTCAGGAAAGGCTTTACTTGAATTCCCTTTTATCCTGGGAATGGTGCTGACTTGACTTGAGTGTGTGCTTCTCAGATCTTTGTATACAGATAAAGAGAAGCAGTTTTACCCACAGAGACTAATTCAAAATGAGTTAGGAGCAAACTGTAATTAAAGGGGATTTTATTTTCATGTAACAGACAGCGTTTGTTAGTGTTACTGTGTTGGAATACTGTTGCCATAGATGTGGTTACTTGCCTGTGTGTGAATATGAGCAATAGCCTGATCGGGAGTGTTTAGAGGAAGTCGATAATATGCGCTTGGAGGCTATATGACAAGCGCCTTGCCTTGACACATGGGGTGCGGCATTTGGCAACACACTGTTACTCATAAACACAAGTGCGTTCACCTGAGTGTATGTATGTGTGCCCGGAAGACCCGACACACCTAGTTGTGGTGATGTGTGTTTGAGTAACGTGATTCAGGTGTGAGTTTGTTGTCTGTGTTGTCTGAGGTTGTCTGACTTTCCTTTCAGTCATACAGTATATACTTGCACAAACTCCGTTATAAACCACACACATTAATATAATTGAACATGAATTAATGTTTAAGTTGCTTTTTTAATCACAGGTTTTATTACCACATCCTTGCAGCTTTAAGTAAACACAGCAGCATATATTTTTTGTGATGGTTATTTTCTCTATTATTCAGTAATGCCAATAGTGGATTTCCTGTGTGCGCATGAAAGTACCCAAATGTTATTGTTTGTATGTATCTAAAGCAATTGTGTGTGTGTGTGTGTGTGTGTGTGTGTGTGTGTGTGTGTGTGTGTGTGTGTGTGTGTGTGTGTGTGTGTGTGTGTGTGTGTGTGTGTGTGTGTGTGTGTGTGTGTGTGCGTTTGGAGAGAGAGAGGGGGGGGGGGCACTTGCATGTGTGTGCTTGTGTGTCTATATCCACTCATGCTGATCTGCAAGGCTGACTCAGGTAGGAGGTGGGGCGTTTCCTGAGTGTGTGTGTGTGTGTGTGACTGTATGTATTTAAGAGGCTGAGGCAGGGGAGAGACGAGCATTATTTCACACGGACTAAACGTTAGGAATGTCAGATACTTGTATGGATAAGCAACGGCGCACAGGGCTTTTGTTACAGACCCTACTATGTTGGACTTTGATTGGACTTTGCTGCGCTGGCCACAGACCCCGAGAGAGAGGGGAGCGAACCCGCTACGCCAGGCATCATGAGAGATGGACTCAGCGGATAGAGTTCCCTTCACTAAACGACCAGGGGACTCAGCGGATAGAGTTCCCTTCACTAAACGACCAGGGGACTCAGCGGATAGAGTTCCCTTCACTAAACGACCAGGGGACTCAGCGGATAGAGTTCCCTTCACTAAACGACCAGGGGACTCAGCGGATAGAGTATCCATCTTTGAATGATGCAGGGACCCAAGGGGTACAGGGGAGAGGACAGGCTGTTCTCTTTCCTAATGTTAATGACGGTTCTGCCAATTATGAGAATGAGGTAAAAATCTGGTAATAGTTTTTGCCTGAAGGGATGTTTTAGCTTCGCTGTAGGATACACTTCTCAATGCCTCAGGGTGGGTTGACCTAAATATGTTATCTTTGAAAGCAAAGGGCATGCTTTGGGGCTTCTTGAGTTAATTGTTAATCAAACTAAACTCAGATGAAGTTCATTGCTGTGTGCTCGGCAAATTATCTCACTTCTTAGCAAAGCAAACAGAGATGTCGTCTGGGACAGTGTTTTTATTAATCCTCTGCTACGTTAAGTCAAAATTAGAAAGAAATGTTGGTATGATATTTTATAAACTACATTTGGAAATGTGTTAGCATTTGTAGGCTTATGAGAAATGTGTTTATATTTAAACTGATGATAATTGTAGTTACAGGCAATGTTGCAAATCATAAGCAGGAGCGCTTTTTTTACCAATATTACATTTGCAGGATTTCTACAACATTTTGACATTTTCATTTAAAAAAAAAAAAATGTAAATCAATGATTTGCCAGCAATAGACACTCCTTTAAGGTTATGTATTCTATAAGAAATGTTTTCAATTGAATTGAAAGAAAATTCACTCAATATCCAAATAGAGAATCTTAAGTATTTTGCCAAGCCCCTAGCATCAAAAAGGTTTTACTAGCTAGCCAGGATTTAACAATTGCCATTTGAAGTTTGTTAATCATGTCTTTATATTTTTTTTTTCCAGAAATGTGCTCCTGGTTACTACAGAGAAGGCAGTGGGTATTTCCTGGGTCGCTGTGTGCGCTGTGAGTGCAACGGTCTGGCTGATGAGTGTGAAGACAAGACAGGGAGGTGCAGGGTAAGAAACACACAACCCTCAAATCTTGATTCATGACCACAGGCGTACAATACACAGACACCATAGATGTCATACAGGAAGTGGACCTAGTCTACGTGACGGCACCCATTTTTGCACCGTTTTGAAGCCTTGAGTTAGGACTTTTGGCCATTACAATCATGTCTTTCTCTTACCAGAAGTGTTGCACTAATAACCACGCAATTCGGAACTAAATATTTGTAGGCCAACAAGATGTTACAATTAACTTTCTTGAACTGAAAACCAACTGTAAAAGTACCTAAGACTTGAGCTAATTCTTTAGCCCAGCCTCCTACAGTATGGCTCCTTATTCTCCAGGCATGGGGCCCTCCTCACTCAATATTCCACTTGATGGGAGAATGAGCCTTTGTGCAATTTAAAATCCAGCCGTCTCTCTCTGTATTTTTATGAAAGCAATCAAGACCGGGCCTGTATGTGAAAAGTATGCAAGGATCCACACCCTAGCAGCTTTAAAGCCAGATGGACACAGATGGTTGAATTAGTACTTGAGGTGTTCTTTAATACTTCGACTGCCAAGTATTTTGCTTCTCAACATTTAGTTTCCAAGTGCTAATAATGTAATTAAATACATTATGTCTTTTTCAGAACTGTCAGTATAACACGGCTGGGGACAGATGTGAACGCTGCAAAGAAGGTTACTATGGAAACGCAGCTCTGAGGACATGCAAAATGTGTCTGTGCCCATCCAGCATGAACAGGTGCGGGAAAAAAATTAAACTCATGTACTCTAAATACATTTTATTATATATTTCAAGAATTTAATCATGATCTCCCTATCAATTTGCAGTTTTGCAATCGGTTGCAAAGAGGTGTTTGGAGGCTTGGAGTGTATATGCAGAGTCGGCTACAGTGGAGACAAGTGTGAGAGGTAAGTGTCTGTATGGACATGCAATGATTTAAAAATCCTTTGCAGATACCTTGTAGTTTACAATACTTGACGTTTTCTCATTTCTCATTCCCTTAGTTGTGCTCCTGGTTTCTATGGTGCTCCACTGACACTAGGAGGAAGTTGTCGGCCCTGTTTTTGCAACGGCAACAACTGCGATTCCAGGACTGGAGGTGAGATTGTGAACTCGCATTTTGAAACAATTCATTTGTTTACTATTTTATTCTTCACAGTGCTAGCTCATGTTGTTCTATAGTTACAGTTAATTTATATTTCCTTTTCTTTTTTCCTTTTCTCCAGTTTGCAAGAACACCCTTGAGCCAAAAGACACAAACACAGATGATCCCTGCCAAGGTGAATTAACAATAAGAACTGAAGTTTGACGCTGTGACATTGCAGTTTACAATAATTAGAGTAATTAGAGGGGGGATGCCTTGGCTAATCCAATCTTCTTTTGTGTTTCAGAGTGTGATAATTGTGCCCAGACTTTACTCAATGATCTGGAGAAGCTGGATGATGAGATAGGAAGGATTAAGACTCAACTGGACAACGCTTCTGCCAGTTCCTCGTCTCAGGACAGGCTGAAGAAGCTGGAAAAGCTTGTGGCTGACACCAAGGTAACACATCAGTGGGCTTTAACCCAGCACTGTCACTCTGAAGTCTACAGATACAGCTAAAGATGAGCAGTAGAACACTAAAAGATATTGGAAAGAGTCATAGAGTATGTTCCTGATGCCAAATGCATCATCACAAAACATTAAGATCCATAGTTTTTTTTTTTATTGTTTGCATTTTGCACATGTCAGTTATTTTTCACAGAAATACACACGTATGATAGGACAAGATGGGTGTGCTTATTCAAACATTCAGGATTCCTGCTGATTAGCAATGTCAGTGTATTTCGTCACACAGATTGAGTGTCAACATGAGTTAGCGACCACACCACCGAATGCCAGTGCTTGCTGCGCCGACTTGTCCTTCCTTGTTTTTTCATAATCTCAGTGTTACATCTACTTTGTTTGAGTGTGCATCGTTTCTGCATTTACTGAGACACAAGTAAATAGGCACAGCACAATTTCAAAAACAGCCCCTATCAGCCTCAAGCAATCACTCCGCATACAGCATCTATATTCTCCTTTATGCAGCTTTATTTACATTTCTGCTACTGTGCTCTCTGCAGATTATTGTCAACAACTTTAACTCTGCCATCAAAAAACAAAAGCCCAAAGTGAACCAGCTTGAAGAAGATGAGAGCACTCTCTCAGATGACATCGACTCCCTGAGAGACAAGGTAGAGCGAAGGAGACCGGGCCTACAGTAGCATTTTATAAAAAATATAAGCATGCAATAATACGTGTGAAAATGTGTATGGTCGGTATGTATTTTTATATAGGCAGATAAGCAGGCTACTGATGCTGAGAAGGCCATGGCAGATGTTGATAAAACTGACAAGAGGGCTAAAGATCTGGACGCAGAGATTCAAAACATGCTGAAAAAAATTCAAGGTAAAAGGAACAAAAATGCACTAACTTTGTCTGTTCTGCCTGTGTCTTAATTTCTTGTTTTTAATATACTAAAGTTTATATTTACAAGTAGTAAAATAGTTTCTAATACAATTCACTGGCAATCAGTTCTTAAATATTTGCTTGACTGGTTGTTTTTTTGTGTGTTTAAAGCTCTGCTGGACCAACTCAAGGATACAGGCATCAGTGGTGATAAGCCACCAAATGAAGACCTGAGTCAAATGCTAAAAGATGCTCAGCGCATGGTGAAGGAGATGCAGGACAGGAACTTTACCCCTCAGAAGACCGCCGCTGAGAAAGAAAAAGATGCGGCCAAGAAATGTACGAGTCTCACTACATAGTTAGATAGTGGAAAAATCTTTCAAACCCCTCCAAAACTGCGTTATTAAAGCACTGATGTGGTTGTTGAAAAGTTAAACATCACTGCAGATTAAAAAAAAAATCCAATAACATATTCTATTCCATTTTCTAGTGCTAGAAAACATTAAGACTAATGTAAGCAAGCAGTGTGACCAGAACGAGGTTGCAGCGGAGAAGCTTCGGGATGACTTGAAGGGTTTCGGGGCCAAGCTGAAGGACCTGGACAAGGCTCTGAAGGAGGCAGTGGACTTGCTGAAAAAAACCAATTCCCAGAACGGGCTCAATGCTCAGGCACTGGCAGATCTGAAGGTAATAACTCAAAAGTCAACTAGTAAATCAGTGAAATAACACATGATCTTGATGCTTAATGGGTATTCAGAAAATAAATTGTAATGAAGATATTTGTAACCATACAATTTAGCATTCGTTTCATAACCAATCAGCACATAAATAAGGATAGGGGATGTGCTGCTTAGTGGTTTATAACATAAAAGACTGTTTTACATTCATTTGTGTAAGGTATTTGAAGGGAAAGGGAAAGCCCTGTAGGTTGTTATTCTATTTATGGTCATTCTGTACAACTAACTGACTTATGTGCTCCTTACAGAAACGCATTAACGACATTCAAACGGAGCGTGAGACTGTTAATAACCAAATGACCCTGGCGGAAAATGAGCTGCAGAAGACCGAGGATTTGGTGGAAATGCTATATGACAGCAAAACAGTATGTTGAACAAATTGTTTCCCGCATGTTCTTTGCCTGAAATACTCTCTGTACCTGCATATCTCTTACAGAATGTGTCCCACTTCAGCGTGAGCCAAGACATTTTTGACAAACTGTAGCTACAGTATGTTAAAATAAAATTCCTTTTCTTCGATCTCAATTGAGCAAGAGGTCAGGTCCCAACATGCTTTTCACTCAGATAATGATCAGGGTTTTCGTTTGCTGTGCTTTGAGGCAAGTTAAACGGCATTTCCTGCTGTTGTGAAAATCTTGCACCCATTCACATGTCCTTCTCCTCTGTAGGAATATGAACAGCTGGCAGCACAGCTGGATGGGGCCAAAACTAACTTGAATAAGAAAGTGAATGACATTACCAAGGCTGCAGACAAGGAGGACCTTGTGGTGAGAGCAGAGGATCATGCAAAGAACATTGCAAAGACAGCAAAAGAACTTGAGGAGTAAGACTTTTCTTCATACATTAAAGACCGTTGATCTAATTTGAACCTGAAATGTAATTAATGGATTTAAGCTAAATAATGTCAGATGTATTTTGCTATGAAAGATGTCTGTTTTAGTGCACAGTCTGCTTAGTTGTGTGTCATTTGCATTATTCTGCTTCTTTCTTGGGATTAATTTTGTTCCCTTGTTATCCTGCATCCCAGTACGGTGAAGAGCGCAAGTGGACTTACTGAGGTGCGTGATGCCAAGGACGCTATTGACGCTTACAAGAACATCACAGATGCAATTAATGCTGCTGAGACTGCAGCCAAAGAGGCCAAAAGTGCTGCCGAAAACGCCTTGAATGTAAGAAACACCCTTGGTACCTTCTAATATTAAGCATCCGTTCGAACCTCTTGGAATTATAGGAAAATCCTGCAACCATTTTTTTAACCTTCCGTTTAGAATGTGAAAAAAGAAAACCTCAAAGAAAGAGCAAAAGACCTAAAGCAGAATGGTGAGGAACTGCTGAATGATGGAAAGGCGGCTGAGACAGACCTTCAAGGTATTTAGCGCTACTTTCAAAATGTGGTTTTTAAAAAAAAAGGAAAGAAAAGAAAAACTTAAGTTGTTTTTCTTTAATAGGTGTCAATGAAGACATCACTGACCTGAAGAAGCGCCTGGCAAAGGCTGACACGAAGAAGAACACTCTTGCGAAAGACCTGCTTGATGCACAAAACCAATTAAACGGCAACAAAAGAGGTAATACAAGTCGAGGCTTTAAAGCATTAGCATAGCACTGTTTAACTCAAAGCGTCTGAGTGTATTGGCAAAAAAAAGATGTATCCTCATTTCTACCACTTCAAATCTTCAAATCAGATGAAATTGGTCGAATGATTGATGAAGCCAAGAGGAAGGCAGCATTAGCCAATGACACGGCCAGCAACACTATGGACACGTTGAATGACATTAAAGAGGAAATGAAAAAGATCAGTGTCATGCCTGTGGACTCCAACCTGGGCAGTGTGTTGGATGATGTGAGCAAGTCAGGTGAGATTTTGAAAAGATGTCTTAAGACACATTAGGGTATACCTTTTTATTATTCTTTATGGTTCGAAATAATACATATCATTATTAATGGGAATAATAGAAAAGGATGCTTCATTTTTTTTACACATATCAATTTTCTTTCTTTCTCTCATCTTCTACTTCCAGTGAATGACTTGCTGAAAACCATCCCATCTCTTAATGACAAGATCTCCGAAGTGGAAGACCTAACCTCTAAGTTCTCACCCATTAGCAACATTTCTGAGAACATCAAGAATATCAAAAATCTCATTGAACTAGCCCGGGACGCAGCTAATAGGGTGAGCTCCCTCGCTGTTAAAGCATAGCCAAGCGCTAATGAAGCCAACATGTCCCTTATTTTTCCTTGACGGGTCTGGTTTTCGTTTTTCATTATTTTCTCCAGATTACTATCCCGATGATGTTTAAAGGCAATGGCCACGTGGAGCTGCGTGCGCCAAATAATCTGGACGATCTGAAGGCCTACACCGCCCTTTCTCTGAAGCTGCAGAGACCTTCAGGCAGGGGAGATGGAGCACGCAGACGTAGACAATCCATCGACAACGGAGACATGTTTGTGATGTACCTTGGCAATAAAGATGTAAGTTACTCCACATTGATATGAATAGCTTAATATAAACATTTTGTTAATGAATATACACAAGGTACTAACAAACTGTCTTGTAGTCTTCTAAGAACTACATCGGAATGGTCCTGAGGAGCAACCAGCTGTACGGTGTGTACAAGCTCAATGGTGTCACGCATCAGATAGAAACGGACTTCATCACCACGTCCACGTCTGAACCGGCCAAGTTTGATCAAGTTGATCTACGCAGGTAAATTGACATGATAATTATTTTGTATTTCTCCAGTTTTTTCCTCACATTTATAGCATACCTTTTTACGTTGTATTTAAAGTAAATCACTACAAAATACCAAGTAAGTTTGTGAAGATGGTGAATGTTGATGTGGATATTTGCACCCTCTTCCGAATATAGGATTTATCAAGATGTAGAGATGTCCTTCACCAAAGTTGTCACGGCAAGACCACCCGGTTTAACAACTGAGTACAAGAACAAAGGAGAAGAGGACAAAAACCTTCTGGACATCAGTGCCGATGATTTTGTATTCTACGTTGGAGGCTACCCTGACACTTTCACTGTAAGAACATAAGAACAGAAATGCATTTCTTCATTTTTAATTAACATATATTTGTATTAATATATTTTTCTGATTTGCTTCTCCTCAGCCACCACCATCTCTCAACTTCCCCAAGTACACGGGCTGCATAGAGTTCTCCTCTTTTAACGACAAAATCGCCAGTCTCTACAATTTCCAAAACGCAGTGGATATTAATAAAGATTCTCCATGCAAGAGGTACACAGTATGAGTAGTATGATTAGTATTGAGAATCACTCAACTCTTGATATTTTTCAACTATTAACAGAAACTATTAACATTTCTTACTATGAAGTGAAACCGTAAGAAATGTGGAAAATATCTTCTGGTATTATTGATTCCTTTGTCTTGATGCCTTGTTTTGTAATGACATGTTAACCTGTGACATTATGAGCTCTTTGTACCTGCCTCTTCAGTGGATGTGTAAGTATGCACCAGAACCACTGTGACCCTTAATATGTGGGTTATAAATGGAAAACATATTTTTGTTGTTTGACAGACAGATGTGCAAAGCCTATGTATCCGTAACGTCAAACATTCATTCAAGAATCCGATTTTGTAAATACTATTTCTGACTTATTTCTCTCGTCCATCCAGATATGTACCTCCTGTGGTGTCTTTCTACTATGAAGGCAGTGGATATGGAAAAGCGATTATAAAATCAATCCCGGCAGTCCTCAGGATAAAGATGGATGTCTTCATTCGTTCAGAAAACAGTCTGCTCTTTTACATAGGGGAAGAGGTAAATAATGTTCATATGGCTACTTATAATTCTTCTGTATTGATGAATTTGGAATAGAATTATATACGCTATTTGCAAGACTTTGATGATGCTGTTTTTCCCCGCCCTAAAAGAGCAATTACTTCACCGTGACGGTAGAAAATGGCATGATTTTCCTGAATAGCAATTTGCTCGATGCACCTGCTACCAAAAGCAAAAAACTCTTCCCGGTAAGAGCCATTTTTCGTTTTCTTGCATTAACTCAAGTTTTTCTTGACAATCACCATTACATAACCGGATAACATTTGTTAAGAATCACTAATTCAACTGCATTTTGCTCTGCTATCCTTTCTTCAGATAAGTGACTGGGTAGAGTTTTTCCTAATTTTTAAAGCCGGTGAAATCGAGGTCCGCATGGCCAAAGAAGAAGTGGCCCGTGCCACAGTTGTGTACAACTACAAGGCATTTAAAGAATTCTACATTGGTGGTGCCCCAACAGAATTGAGGGAGAAGTATGTGGTTATCAATTTTCCTCTTAATTATTGTGTGTTGTGAGTAAATTGGTCAACCTTTTTTCTCCTTTTTATTGATAATAACTTGATAACTGCTTGTACTCTTCACAGATATAACATCACCATGCAGCCCTTCAAAGGATGCATGAGGAACTTAAAGATTGGGTCGGAAAATGAACATCTTGTAGAGCAAGTGGGCATCAGCAACGGTTGTCCACAGGAGTCCTTGGTAGGACATTAACATATGCATCGATCCCACGTCAAACCAAACGTATAGGCTTACTGTATATGTCAACTAATAATGATCTTGTTCTTTTCTAGGTTCCTCGCAAAGCAGAGTTCAACTTGAAAAGCTCCCTGTCAGCTAACCTTCAAGGTTTCAGTCTGGCTGATGATGAAGTTACTGTCTCCCTCGGATTCAAGAGCACAGAAAACCAGGGTCTCATTCTGCAGGACAAACAGTTGGTCAGTCATTACATACATTTTTAAATATGATGTTCAAATTGTGACTTATTAAAGAAGAACTTGGTCAGATTTAAAAAACCTTTTTTTCATTCTGTTTTCCAGGCTAATGGGATGAATCTTAAGTTGGAAAATGGCCATGTGATTCTCAATTTTAACAACAAGATCTGGAAATCAAACAAAGTATATAACGATGGCCTGTGGCATTATTTGACTGTTACCAGAAGAAGTGGAAGGTATGAAAAAGGAAATTCAAACACATCCATAACATTGTTTAGACAACTGCACACTTTAGTCTTTGGTTTGGTTTGATTTAAATGTGTATCTAAGCAAATTAGTTACACAAACATAATAAATAAACACTTTTAGTGACAGCAGTTGCCCAGAAGATACATTTGTTAAATACCCTGCAATCTAAAGCTAGTGTACATAATATACTATGATGTTTTTTCCAAACAGTATTAAGCTTGTTATTGATGACGAAGACAAGGGTCTGGAGCAGAGTGGCAGCTCTTCCATACCAGACACAGGTGGCTTCGTTGTTCTGGGAAAAGACACGTTCAAAGGCTGCATTTCTAACCTCTACACAAGACGGTAATGTTATGCATCATTTTCTACAGCTTGTTTGCACACCAAAAATCTCTGTTATTTGATGTATGGTGTTTTAAATTATATTGGTACATTTTCTCTGTTTGCAGGCCAACAAATCTGTACAAGGCTGAGGACCTCAGCACCTTCACGCCAACTGGAAATGTAAAGATTGATGTGTGTACTGCTGACACACTCGCTCAACTGATGATGGACCGTGCCTCTAAGAAGGTGAGAGTTTGTTTATTGATTTTTGTAGATAAGTGAAAAAACATTTGGATGAAATAATTTAAACTTCTTTCCAAAGCAAATCCATCTTTATTCTGGAACGACTAGAGCAATCCATCTTATGTAAAGCTTTAAAAACTAGCCTGTTTCTTATAAACATGTTTAATGATTGATTCCACTCTCTATAAGTAAGTCATACCCATCTTCTTAATTCATGTATACAGTGGAGCCATGTTGTAATACTACTGTTGAAAGCTAATTAAAAATCCCAGTCTTATGTTGACATTGTTTACATTCTACTTTGCTGCCTTATTTCCAGAGATGAAGAAGAAGGAGCCCTGCCTGAGGATGCTGACAAGAATCTATTACTGAAATAAAAACTGTCAGTTTGCACCATAATGTTCTGTTGCTTATGCACAAGCTCATTCATCTGCAGTGTACTTAAATAAACAAGTTGCATGAACAATTCCAATAATCATGAGTTATAAAATGTAATGTATCTCTGTCTAATCTATTCAAAAATCCATTAATTACAAACAAAACCTTGTGAATAACAAGCTTGAAATCAGTTCATGTCTCTTTCATTCTTTCATCTCACTCAGTACTGAAAAAATGTACTAATAGTCATTCACAAGCACGTGACCTCTCACTATTGTCATAACTATTGGAAACACAAAATATGCTTGATTATAAAATGATATACCTTTTAACCTCACTGTAAAATAACATGACTAATCATTACAGTTAATGCACAACACATTCAAAAGGATCTGCCTCCATGTTCCCATCATCATTGACTAAGCTCCATGCATTTGATTTGTAGCATGTGAATAACAGACACCATATCAACAAAACAACCTCTTCTCCAGCAAAAATATTGTTGATATAATTATAGCACACTGTTATATTTTACTTTTTGAGTAAATTATCTCACACATTGTGTCAAAAAGACACACATTATATTTTAAAGGGTTTGATAAAAAATGTAGTTTTGGGGTAGTAAAGCCTTTCTAAGTAAACTCTTAAAACTGAATGGGATCCCAGCATAAAGGTTGAGAAACACTAACCGACATTGTATTATACTTTGTAGCCAATGGGACATTGGGAAGCATCTCCTAAGACGAAATGTTGGTATTTCAAAGCTAAGCCAGACTTCATGTTGAAATATGTGAGGCGTAGTGGAGCTGACTGTGTTCAGACACATTATCAAAGCATGATTACTTCATTTCTTCAAACACTAGTTCTTGCATGCCCATCATAAATTACTAAGCTCCATTTGATTTGGAGCATGTGATTAACAACACAACAACCTATTCTCCAGAAACCCACAGTCCACTGATCCATGCCTTCATGCCGCTGCAATAATAAGTTGATACTACAGTCTGGGTTTAGTGGAAGCATCAAAGCTAAAACATAAGAAAGGTTTTTTTTTTATTCTGTCATGACATCTTTTTACACTGTGTAATGAGATTCTTTTCGGTGGTGTTTTGTATATATTAGGAGTCATATAGGACTAAATGAGTCATTTCAAAAAAACATTTGAGTGTTAAAAGTAAAACAAATATCTGCAACTTGCAACTAGCGGTTCGTCCTTTGAGTGTATGCCAAATTGAATAACCCAAATCCTACAAGCATGTACTTTCCTGCATGCTGTACCGAATAAGGACAATACAACATTCCTAACTATGTTGAAACCATCCACAGCCCTGAGTAAACAGGAGGTTAATGTGGGTGGTGCTGACAGGAAACTATGCCTGACCTCAGTGTCACCAAAATAAAGAATCTGATGTGTGTTATTTTGTAACTGATTACAAGATTCACTCCGACCAACTTGTAATAACTACTTACTACTTGGGTGATGAAATCATTACTACCATGTATGCTAGACTTATCTTCTTATCTAAACTATGAAAGGCTGGTTATTAAGTCTCTTTGGGAGAAATGTGTTATGCGTAGAAGCACGAGTCGATTAATCATAATAGTAGATCCACAGTCATTGTATCTGCATTATTTTGATTTGCGTCATTTAAATGCAAAACAACATTTTCAAGCTTCTTAGTTGGACAGGTTTGCTGTTTTTGTTCTTAGATTCTATGATTACTAATTATATTGGGGTTTTGGACTATTGGATGGACATTTTCTGACTGACTGAATTGTATTTTTAGTCAACCTACACACAAATTGACAGAGGAGTAAAAAATGAAAATAACCTTTGGTTAAAGCCCTCCATTTATTTATTTATTCAGTTTGTCCTTGCTGTTCTCACCTGCGGAAAATACTAAAGTGTTTCACTGTCTGTGAGTGGAGCCATAAAAAAGCCATACAAATACAGTAGCCTATTTATAATATTTGATATACTAACCACAATTGTAGTCATGTTTAGGCTACCACTAACATTGCCATACCCTCCCATCTTTATTTACTTACAGGGTGGAACCGCATTGGAGACTTCCCCAAATGTGAGTTAGCAAACAATAATTGCTAACTTTAAACCTTGTGCTGAGTTTCTCTCTTGTTTGTCTGTGCTGTTTTAGGATTTTGTGATGCAGGCGATAAATGAGAGTCTATCAGCGTGCCGATTACCAACCATGCTTCAAAATGCTTATCGCCTGGGAGGCCCTGTGAGCAGCCTGAGCTACAGCCTTCCACTTCAGGTCCTGCAGCCCAGGTGAGAAACCTGTCCCACGCCACCTTTGCACAATACACATACATGCACACACATGTAGTGGTTGATTTGTGTTATAAATAATGAGTCTGTCATCTCAAGAACTATGCCGCAGTTATATTCGAGCCAACAAAAACAAACACTAACAATTTGGTCTTTTTTCATCCTCCCCAGGCCCCACTTCTCTCTGGATATCAGGACTCGAGCTGGTGAAGGCCTGCTGTTCTTTGCTGCTACCAGAGGGGGGCGCTCTCATCTCGCTTTATACATATCCAAAGGAAGGATTAGACTGTCTGTAGGCAAACAGAAGGAGATCTTCAACAGGGAGAAGTACAATGATGGAAAGTGGCACTCGGTCAGTGGATTTATATCATACTAATTACATAATATGTTGCTACTACCACTCAGTCCAGATTATAAAGCAAGGGTCAGTGTTTAATTATTCTTTATGTCTATGGTGACAATATTGCCTGCAGGTCATATTCAGTTTGGAGAAGAAGAAATTTCGATTGGTCGTGGATGGGATCAGAGCCCAGGATGGTCAGCTGACCACTGCTGAGTTGAACTCCATGCAGCAGTTTGTGTCACCTGTGCACCTGGGCAGTGCTCCAGAGTCCCTTCACAAAGAGTTTAAGGTACAATGAAATGAAATAAAATGAAGTACTGACTGACCGATTCACACACATATTCAATTTTCTTTTTCGTTCTTTTAAGTTGAAGGCTCTTCCAAGACAAAGTGTATCCGGGTGTATCCGCAATTTTAAAATGAATGGAGCACCAATGTCAAATCCAACCTCCAACCACGGCGCGGGCCCCTGCTTTGAGGGACAGACACAAAGAGGGGTTTATTTCTCAGGGAATGGAGCACATGTCGTTATCAGTGAGTAAACCTTTCTGTAAACGTTTTCTGAAGAAGCATTGCTCATCCCAATAATTATCTCCATCAGGTTCTGTTGGAGATACAGTAAGAAGGAATTGCAACCACCCCCACACAATTTGGCTTCTCAACAAGTCAAAACAAATTTTACATGGATGACCGAAAATATATTGTTTTACAGGTCTATAGGATTATTTAATTTTGCCTAGTTAGCATACTTACACAACATTTAAATGTAATTCAATTTGACATTTAATATATGTATTTGACTGGGAAAAACCTGGGAATTAGTTAGAACAATTGGTGATGTTATAAAATCATAAATTCATCAATATAATATTAACATAAATGTAAGAAAAGATACATTAAACCCAAGTAATGTTTTTTTTTTAATAATAATTTTTAAAAAATCTTTTTTTTTTCTGCATGCTCAATTTACTTTCTGTGCACTGAGTAAATCTTTATATTATATATTACTTGGAATGGATTTATTCGTGAAACCATTTAATTTTCTTTAAAATTATTAACCAAATTAGATTTAAAGACACTTTGTTGGATTTAGATGTTTTTATTGAATTAGATTCCACTTTATTTCATTGCACACTCTCCTCATTATTCTGATATGCCATGTCCAAATTATGTAATCTATAACAATGCCAATGCTAACAAACATGGTGGTATATGTTTTCTGTATTTCAGATGACTCTTTTGTTGTGGGCTCGGGCTTTGAGCTGCTGTTTAATATACGTCCACGGAATCAAACTGGACTCCTGCTACATGTTGGTGCTTCCAGCATGAACCAGTATGGGCCTGCAGAGGGTCACTACCTCACTGTGTACATGCTCAGAGGAGAGGTGAGTTCTCTTTAATGCTACCAAACCAGATACTCCTACCAAAAAAACATGTTTTTTTCTGGAAAATAGACTAAAGATTCAGTTGAACTGGGTCTGAAATAAAAAAAATATAATTGTATTCATGTTTTGGGGACTTAAATTCTATATTTAAGTGTGTTCCCTGATATTGTGACTAAAAGCACTATGTTTGGATATGCTCCCATATTTAGGTTGTGGCACGAGCAAACAATGGCAAAGGGGAATTCATGGTGTCAGTGAAGCCAAAAGCTTCTTTATGTGATGGAATGTTTCATAAGATTTCAGGTAAATTGCACACAGTCACTTGATGAAAGACATATTTCAAGAAAAACTAAACTGCTTTTAGAATCTTATTAGGACACTGATATACAGTAAATCCCCTTTCATGTTGAGTCACTGTCTGCTTGTCTTGTAGTAATCAAAAGGAAAAATGTTGTGCAACTGCACGTGGACACAATGGACAATTACAAGATTGGACCACCATCTTCCACTACAACTTTGACCAAAGACTCTGTGTATGTGGGTGGCATTCCTCGTGAGTATTCATCTGTTAATCTGAGAGTTAATCTACTATGATTTCAGTGAATCTTATTCACACATATCAGATATTCACTACATGCACCTTTCTGCTGCAGAGATGTCAATGCAACAGACGCTCCCAGTCACATCGTCCTTTATGGGATGCATTCAGGACATGAGGATCAACGGCGAGTCCATCTCTTTCGACAGGTTGTCCGGTGCGTTTGGTCCGGTCAACCTCAAAGAATGTCCAGGCTGAACGTCTCCATGCATCATCATGAAAACAAACCTTGGGACCACGTCCACCGCCAACCATGTGCAATCTGTTACCCAGACAGAGAATGTGTTTGTGTGTAAGAATGTATATTTTACGAGGAGTGTGTTTCAATGTGAATATGAGTGTGTGCTAGTGTGAGAGTCTGCATGTAAAATAGAAATATGAGCAGCCGCTTACAGGTTCATATTATTTGCTGCTCGGTTAAGTATTTCTGTATTTATTTTGTGATAAAAAAAAAATCATGTATCAGGGCACCAATTCACACATTTCAACAGTTCTTTTACAGTCTGATGTGTTGGTCCATTCATTTAGATAAATGTTGACAATCAAATGCTACTGAACATGCTTGTGATTGGTCAGGGCTGCAGCAGGAGCAACCCAGCACTTTAAGAAAACAAATAATGCCTTTTGTGATGGTGCTTTAATGGAAATCAACATTATTAGTGGATTTTCTTTGTTTGTTTGTTGAAAAGTTTTTACTAGAAATATTACGTTTACACCAAGGGTGCTCGTTGTATTGCTGTTTTAATTTAATATCCAAATGCCAGCATGTAGAATCTACATTTTACCTGGTTTAGTAGAGTTTTCAAACAGGCCATGAAATCAAATGGTTTCCCCCATGTTTTTCCCCCTAAACTGTACACGTATTGTTCTGAATCAATTTTCAAATTTGCATTCCTTTTTCATGCATGGGGATGTTCTGTGTGGCTGTCAATATCAGTTACACAAGAAAACAGCATGTACTGAAGTTTGTGTAGCATTTTCTATAAGTTAAAAAACAATATAAATGCATTCAAATAAGTCTCACAAGTAATGTTTGGGACCATTTAGTCCATATTACTATAATGCTGTGTGTAACATAACAAAAAACATCAACATGCACTTGATGTATTTAAACCCCCAGCAAGTGTTTACCTACCTGTGTTGTACATTTGTGTAAAACAATTGTGATATGAGGAAAAATATGCATGATGATTGGACATGGGGATTGTTATATGCATTCCTGTCTTGCGACCACTGATTTGTATGCCATTTTTTAAATCACTGTTCTTTATAAATACTTGTCAGTGCCATAGGTCTTGATTTGTGATCATGGTGACAGCTGAAACTATTATGGACTGAACCATGCTTTTTCATCACAGAAATGTGGGATTAATTGTTGAATTGATTGTACGGTTACAGAAATGTAATTAGCAAATAATTATATTTTTTGTAATGCTTTGTATGAATACAGTACATAATGGTAATGTATCTCAGTGTGCCTACTTTTTGGGAGTAGAGTGGCTCAGCTAAATATATATATAAATGTATATCTTGTGTGGAGCAGGCATTGACTCTAATTTAATTTGACCTCAGTATTTCCAAAACCATATCTCAGGCCCTAACATCTATCGATCTGGTTATATATACAGTCTATGGGTTGACTACAGCCCTCAATCACAAACCACCACGCCCACTCTGATGCTGCCTTCACGGACTTGGTGAACTCAAGACTTAAAGCTGCAAGGTGCTTCACCATATGATGTGACCCAATTCAACATGTTTAGCTATAAGCAAATGCCAAAGAAAATGTAACAAATGACGATGCTTCCAAAATATTGAATTGTGTCATTTGAATAATAATAATAATTGTTCACATTATGATAGCTGTAATACCCCAATTATTGGCGACGCAAGAAGTAAACAGTTCGGTAACAGCTATCAATATAACGTTTGCAATACAATATGACAGAAAGCGTGCTGTTCTGGTGAAATATCAAAGGGCAAACATTTGATGGGTCAATGACATATTGTTCAAACATTTTTCATGTGATCTTATTACTCCAAATCAATGCAGCATTGTATTACTTACACACGCCACATTGATTTTAACATTAGTGTTATGTAATATTAATATATATGCTCTAGTTTTATGACAAAACTAGCTGATATAGAATACAACAGGTATTAACTACATTAATTAAAGTAACAGTGTGTAAGATATGAATGGTTCAATTAAGGGGTGGCAAAAAGAAAAGTATTTAGCCTTTATTTAAAGAGTAAGAGTTGCAGCGGACCTGCAGGTTTCTGGGAGTTTGTTCCGAATATATGGAGCATACTAACCAAATGCTCCGGTTGCGATAGTTACGATAGCACCCAAAGGCAGCACATTTCCTGTACACACCGTACTCACTAACCAACGTTCACAATACGGAACAGAGACACAACGCTGGGTCAACGGCGAGCACAGACACACACATGCATGTAGTTAGTTATTTGAACCTGTTCGTTTATCAATCATGTACCAATGAGAATATGACTGCGTTTGCTAAAAACTGCGTCACTGTGTGAGACTACTCTGCCTGTTAGTAAACTACCGAGACATACCGCTCCCTCCCTCCTCCTCCTCCTCTCCTCGGCCGCGTTCAGCACCTCACCTCCGGTCTCAATGGCGGACCCCGCAGAACCAGCACCGGGCAGCATGCAGGATGAGAAGAAAGAGGGTATCAACGACGCAGAGCTGGCACTGAAAGGAATAAACATGCTGCTCAACAATGGATTCAAGGAGAGCGACGAGCTCTTCAAATTATACAGGTCAGTGAGTGTCTGTTAGGCAGACTATAAACACTCTTTCTGTCTATGTTGGTGAAAGATGGATACTGTGTTCTCTGCAGGGTGTGTTGTTAAATGTTATGTCAACTGTTGCTAATGTGTCCAAACTACTGAGGTTAACCAGCACAAGTGTAAGCTTTTAACCATAGCTTTTAACACATGTTTTCCTTTCAGCAATGTCTTATTTGCTTTGCTTGCAAACAAAACCTCAACATCCTTGTCACGCTTGTCTACTGAGGCACCATATGATCATGTCACAAGCGGGATGAATGGTGTTGTAATACCTTGGGCAAATATCCACACTCAATGTAACTTGTGATGCTTAAACAGTCAAAATACTTTATTATTAATGTAATATTGCCCTCTTTATATGTTAATAGGATACCTAAAGTGTTGAGAATATAATTTAGAGTCAATATAACAATGGTTAAAGAAGAAAACATGCTGAACAGGTTATCATCTATGTAGTACAAGTAGTTGTCTTTGAATCTAGTTGAGTTACATCTCTCATTTTAGCCAAGCTAGTGTGTTCAGATCACACAACCTTATGTCAATTGTTGGTAGGTGGCACCTGTGTCTAGGCTTCTTTTGCAAAACCAAGTTGAACCAGTCATTTAAATGTAAAGCATTACACTTGCAAATGATTTTTTTTTTTTTACTGTAAAGGAAAGCTAAAATAAACCACAATCCTTCGCTTAGTAATATTTGCAATATTAACAATTGCTGCAATTTACAACTACTTTTATTGTTGATTTATCTGCAGATTATTCACTACTCCAAAGTCTTTAAATAATAAGCTTTCTATAAATAGTCCAATACTCTAAACCTGATTGTTTTGTTCGTGATAATTGTATACTAAAATGTTGATATTGTTACATCCCTATATTGAATTTATTTTGGTTGACCTTCTATAAAAAGGAAGACAAACACTGGTTTAGTTGACTTCGTAAAGCCTGTGAAGGGTCACTCACTGCACCATAGTACGCTCATTGTTGCAGGATTTGTTATACATTCAATCATCCTGTGCTGTTATTATAAGGCCTTATCTCTAGGAAAGGTTTGCTTTCAACTCGAATGCTGATTCCACAGAAGGTCACGCTCTATGTGTCCTAACCCCTGGTGAAAGCTTAAATGTCACCCTATCCACTAATTGCATTTAGCACTAGGGGTTATCCTGTTTGATTGCATCAGCAAAAATGATGGAAGGAAGTGAAATATGTGTAATACAGAAACTGAGAATGGGCCCTGATAAGGTTCCCCTGTCTCTCTGACCCTTGGCATTTTGTGTTGCATTATGGGTATAGGAGAGTAGGTAAACGGGTTCAGTAAACCTTTCCACATTCCTAATGAATCCAGTTGCTCTTGTCTTACTGTCATCGTGAGCTTTATATTGTTCATGTTTTCAGTGGAGTCAATCCAGTGCCTGAGGCAGGTAACCGGCTGAACACATTTTTGTCACTCCGCCCATGAACTTCTCATATGACCTTTTTAACCTCTTCCCGCAGTACGTCGTTCTCTGACTTGTCACCTACTTGTTCTTTGTCCTCTTTTCAGGAACCACAGTCCTTTGATGAGTTTCGGGGCCAGTTTTGTGAGTTTTCTGGTGAGCCTAGAGTACTGTACTGTTTAACTTTAAGAAACATTTATATTTGATAAAAGGGTTCAAGGAATACGCCCTGTTTTTCCTATGAGGCACAATGCAAGACTTTTTAAAATTATTTTTCTGGCACACAAGTAGGTTTCTATTGTGTATGAGTTAATTGATGCCCTTCCAATAAGTCACAACATGAACTGTAAGTGCAACCCACATATAAACGACTAAAAGAAAGTTAAGAGATAAACAAACTATACAACACATTTGAGCCAGACTTGTTAGCCATGGAAACAGGAGTCAACAGTACAATCTTACTTGCTTCTCCCTTTTAAAAATGTGTGCTTATTATATTCTACATTACAATACATATGTTTCCTATTTTAACATTTACAGCTCCATTCTGTGCTCATCTACATTTTAGAAACACATCTCTTTAATTTAGCTTTGTACAAGCAGTGTGTCACCTAAAGATGAATTTAAGCTACTTTTTCAGATGGCAAGTTGCCAAGCTGATCTCAAATATATTAAAGGGAAATACTGGTTTGTTTGTATTAAAGTAAGAAGACTGATTAGTGCAGTTTCATTTTGTTTCTCTGCTTCCTAGTTTAATCCAGGATTAGACGTTTTGCTTCACTTGTAAATCCTGTGGATCACCAGCATTCATTTTAGAACAGTTGCATTCCGGGTTAAAAATGAACTATCTGTCCGACAGCCAAATGGCTTTTGAACGTTTTTACCAGCCACTAAATATGTGACCATAGTTTTTTAGGCTGGTGAGTGACACATGTGTTGCCACTTGCATATGTTACCAGCATTCGGTTGGCAAATGTAAATAAAAGGATTATTTATCTGGCTTCCTTTTTGTAGAATGCCATGATGACGTTTGAGGAGGAGAAAATGCAGATGGCCTTTGAGGATCTCAAAGCTACAGAGCGACTGTGCGAGAGTGAAAACACTGGTGTCATTGAGACCATTAAAAACAAGCTCAAGAGGAATGTGAGTAACCATTTCAACACTTAATTGAATTGAATGTATATGATATATAGAACACATTTTATTTGCCTGGAAAGAGAGAACATTTCCATTTGCACCATGGTCAGGTTTGCTGTTTGTGAGCGTGCCTGTCACACCAGTCTGAAAGAGTGAGGTGTTTGTGTGGGCAGATGCACTCCCAGAGGTCGGGGGTGGCTGCAGTGGACCGGCTCCAGAGGCAGATCATCATCGCTGACTGCCAGGTTTACCTTGCAGTGCTGTCTTTCATCAAACAAGAGCTGTCGTGTAAGGGGACCTTTTTAATACCTGCTGTCAAACTATGAACGCTGCACATTCATCTGTGTGAAAAGAAAATATTGAATTCAGCAGTTGTCCAGAGGTGGGAAGTAGTGGATACTTACGTTACTGTACTTAAGTACATTTTTCTGGTATCAGTACTTTACTGCACTACTTATTTTTCTGACTTTTTACTTTTACTTCTTACATTTTTAACACCAATACTTGTACTTCTTACATTTTCAAAACAGGCTCGTTACTTTATTTTTAATCTGCGTTTGGTGGCGTGATCATTATTAGGCATTGCAATGCGTGCCTATTGATTTTAACACGATCTATCATTTCCTGGTCATTCATTAACAATTATTGTTCTATTAATATAAAATGAGGTCAGTTACTCTTTAAAACAGATGGTAGTTATGGGTACTTTTTACTTAAGTACATTTCGAAGCCAATACTTCTTTACTTTTACTTGAGTAAATAAGTTTAGTCAGTACTTCTACTTTTACCAGAGTATTTTTAAACACGAGTATCTGTACTTCTACTTGAGTAAAGGATGTGTGTACTTTTGCCATCTCTGCAGTTGTGTAATCTGATTTAATATTGGACCATATGCATATTTCTTTGTTTATTCAATCTCCTGACAGCATACATCAAAGGGGGCTGGATCCTCCGTAAAGCCTGGAAGATGTACAACAAATGTTACAGCGACATCACACACCTGCAGGAGGGCAGCAGAAGAAGAGCCTCCCAGCAGCAAGCGGCGGCGCCTCCATCTCTGTCCTCATCTGACGCGTCACACCACAGCCGCTCCTCCTCCCCCGGGCCGAGCCCCTCCCTCAGACCGGACGGCATCAGCCCCGAGGCTCTGGACCGACTTAAAGGTTCCGTCAGCTTCGGTTATGGCCTCTTCCACCTCTGCATCTCCATGGTGCCCCCCCACCTCCTGAAGATCGTCAACCTGCTGGGCTTCCCTGGCGACCGCCTGCAAGGCCTGTCAGCGCTCACGTACGCCAGTGAAAGTACGGACATGAAGGCCCCTTTAGCTACGTGAGTATGTGAGTGAGTATGTCTGTGGTTCTGTAGTCTGTCTGGAACTGAAACATGTCTAGTTGATTAGTTGATGTACAGAAAAATGGTAGATAATGCTGTTTAGTGATTTTTCAATATGGTTAATCACACTTAATCAACCTGTTAGTTAAAAATCATTACAGATTGATCTAATTTCATACCAGATGGTGTTGTCTTTACACTCACTCAGTCTGTGCCCCCCCCCCCTCACAGCCTGGCTCTCCTGTGGTACCACACAGTAGTGCAGCCCTTCTTTGCTCTCGATGGCTCAGACACACAGGCAGGTCTGATGGAAGCCAAATCCATTCTCCAACAAAGAGAGGCTATCTATCCAAACTCCTCCCTCTTCATGTTCTTCAAAGGCAGAGTCCAACGCCTCGAGGTGAATTTGAAGAAAGAACCCTATTATCCACTGCTATGTGTCCTTTTCTCCTGCCTTAGTAAATATTAAGCATTGCCAATATTGTCTCAGCGTGTTACTCGGATAACAAAGTTCTTCTTTCCAGTGCCAGATCAGTAGTGCCTTGACGTCCTTCCGTGATGCCTTAGAATTGGCTTCTGATCAGAGGGAGATTCAGCACGTGTGTTTGTATGAAATAGGTACTATATTCCCTCTCAGATTTAAAACCACATTGCTCAGCGCTAGTCTGCATCATAAATATTCGTTTAACCTTTTAGGTTGGTGCAGCATGATCGAGCTGAGCTACAGAGAAGCCTACAGGGCCTTTGAGCGACTGAAGACGGAGTCTCGCTGGTCCCAGTGCTATTACGCCTATTTAACTGGAGGTGGTAACAGTACAAACAAAAATGGCTTTAATCGCACATCTAAGAGATTGCTATTAGCTCCTAATTCTTATAATGTATGTGTTGATTAGCGTGCCGAGGAGCCACAGGTGATCTAGAGGGAGCTTTCACAGTCTTCAAGGATGTGGAAACACTTTTCAAACGCAAGAATAATCAGATAGAGCTGTTTGCTATGAAGAGGGTTAGTATATATCAGCATATTTTCTGTTTAATATCTTAGGTTCAAAATACAGTGAGATTAAGCATGTATGCACACATTTATAACAGGCTGAGAAGCTACGGACCCCCAGTCTATCCAAAGAGCTCTGCATCCTGTCTGTGATTGAGATTCTTTATCTGTGGAAAGCTCTGCCAAACTGCTCCACCGCCAAGCTTCAGACAATGTCACAAGGTACTCGATTTTAAAACCTTTCAACCACCAAACTAGTTCCTCTGCGTTGTCTTGCAGATTGTTGTTGTGTCTTCAGGTGTAGCTTAATTGTTATCTTCTTGTTCTAGTGCTGCAGGGGATTGATGATGCCTCATGTGAAGGCCTGAAAAACCTGCTTCTCGGTTCCATAAACAGATGTCTTCATAACACAAACGATGCCGTTCAGGTACTCCTACGTCATATTCATAATAAAATGTATAAGGTGTGGAATATGAAGCATTGTGGGATGCTTGTAAAACGGTGTATTATTCACACAGAAGTCAGTACTGTGCTGATAATAGTCTAGTGTGAAAACCGATTTTTCTTCTGCCTGTTTTGCAGTTCTTCCAACTGGCTGCAAGGGATGAGGTTGGCCACCTGAGCAACTCTTATGTGCAGCCCTACTCCTGCTATGAACTGGCCTGTGTGCTGCTAAACACCCCAGAGGCAAGTGTGTGTGTGTGTGTGTGTGTGTGTGTGTGTGTGTGTGTGTGTGTGTGTGTGTGTGTGTGTGTGTGTGTGTGTGTGTGTGTGTGTGTGTGTGTGTGTGTGTGTGTGTGTGTGTGTGTGTGTGTGTGTGTGTGTGTGTGTGTGTGTGTGTGTGTGTGTGGTGTGTGTGTGTGTGTGTGTGTGTGTGTGTGTGTGTGTGTGTGTGTGTGTGTGTGTGTGTGTGTGTGTGTGTTAGATAGAAAGAGAGAGAGACTGTTTCCTAATCTGAGATGGTGGAAAAGTCATAGTCTAAATCAGTGGTTCTCAACCTGTGGTACGCGTACCACTGGTGGTACGCCAGCGCAACAATTTATATAATTTTATTAATTATATAAATTGTATTTAAAGGTGGGGTAGGTAATTTTGGAGAAACCAGCTCGAGTGAGCTAGAATTTGAAAATACACAACCGGAAAAAATCTGCCACAGAGCCCCTCCTCCAACACACACGAAGGCGCACATGACCAATGAGGGCACGAGATAAGTTTGTGCACAGATGGAAGGCTGACAGGCAGGTAGGCCATCCAGTTATTTTAGCCAGGCCGGCTAAAATGATTGGTCGTGCTTTTTACAGTGCTACGGCTTCCACAGATGACATTTTAATGGATTTGTTGTCAAAGCATATAGCATATACAGTGGTGCAAAAAAGTATTTAGTCAGCCACCAATTGTGCAAGTTCTCACACTTAAAAAGATGAGAGGCCTGTAATTGTCATCCTAGGTATACCTCAACTATGAGAGACAAAATGAGAAGAAAAAAAAAATCCAGAAAATCACTGTCTGATTTTTAAAGAATTTATTTGCAAATTATGGTGGAAAATAAGTATTTGGTCAATAACAAAAGTTAATCTCAATACTTTGTTGGCAATGACAGAGGTCAAACGTTTTCTGTAAGTCTTCATAAGGTTTTCACACACTGTTGCTGGTATTTTGGCCCATTCCTCCATGCAGATCTCCTCTAGAGCAGTGATGTTTTGGGGCTGTCGCTGGGCAACACGGACTTTCAACTCCCTCCAAAGATTTTCTATGGGGTTGAGATCTGGAGACTGGCTAGGCCACTCCAGGACCTTGAAATGCTTCTTACGAAGCCAGTCCTTCGTTGCCCGGGCGGTGTGTTTGGGATCATTGTCATGCTGAAAGACCCAGCCACGTTTCATCTTCAATGCCCTTGCTGATGGAAGGAGGTTGTCACTCAAAATCTCATGGCCCCATTCATTCTTTCCTTTACACGGATCAGTCGTCCTGGTCCCTTTGCAGAAAAACAGCCCCAAAGCATGATGTTTCCACCCCCATGTTTCACAGTAGGTATGGTGTTCTTTGGATGCAACTCAGCATTCTTTCTCCTCCAAACACGTCTAGTTGAGTTTTTACCAAAAAGTTCTATTTTGGTTTCATCTGACCATATGACATTCTCCCAATCCTCTTCTGGATCATCTAAATGCTCTCTAGAAAACTTCAGACGGGCCTGGACATGTACTGGCTTAAGCAGGGGGCACGTCTGGCACTGCAGGATTTGAGTCCCTGGCGGCGTAGTGTGTTACTGATGGTAGCCTTTGTTACTTTGGTCCCAGCTCTCTGCAGGTCATTGACTAGGTCCCCCCGTGTGGTTCTGGGATTTTTGCTCACCGTTCTTGTGATCATTTTGACCCCACGGGGTGAGATCTTGCGTGGAGCCCCAGATCGAGGGAGATTATCAGTGGTCTTGTATGTCTTCCATTTTCTAATAATTGCTCCCACAGTTGATTTCTTCACACCAAGCTGCTTACCTATTGCAGATTCAGTCTTCCCAGTCTGGTGCAGGTCTACAATTTTGTTTCTGGTGTCCTTTGACAGCTCTTTGGTCTTGGCCATAGTGGAGTTTGGAGTGTGACTGTTTGAGGGTGTGGACAGGTGTCTTTTATACTGATAACGAGTTCAAACAGGTGTCATTAATACAGTTAACAAGTGGAGGACAGAGGAGGCTCTTAAAGAAGAAGTTACAGGTCTGCCAGAAATCTTGTTTGTTTGTAGGTGACCAAATTTACCAATTCATTCATTAAAAATCCTACAATGTGATTTCCTGGATTCTTTCCCCCCATTCTGTCTCTCATAGTTGAAGTGTACCTAGGATGAAAATTACAGGCCTCTCATCTTTTTAAGTGGGGGAACTTGCACAATTGGTGGCTGACTAAATACTTTTTTGCCCCACTGTATATATATTCATTGCTATCGGGATGTTAAGAGCATTCCATGGAATATAACAAAAAGTGTATCTCGAGCCGGTTTCTCAAACTTACCTACCCCACCTTTAACCTTTACACATAACACAGACAAATAAAATACAGGAAGCACAACTAAGTAAACAAAAAGACGAAAAGCAGTATATTGACACATATTGTGCACATTTGGGACATTAAGGTACACTACTTATTACTGCAAGAGCAGCTGATGGTAAGGACCTCAGACAACTTCAATTTAAAACAGGTTATAGGGACAAGTGACATCAGTTTGAGGCTTGATTGAATAACATTAATTACAAAATAAATCATACATACCTCCTAGTCCTGTATGAACTGTGCATAGACTGTATTTTAACATTGGTCATATGGTGGTACTTGGAGAGCCAACTATTTTCTCAGGTGGTATTTGGTGTTAAAAGGTTGAGAACCACTGGTCTAAATAATTGATTGTGTTTTTTTTCCAGTCTGCCGGGAAGGGCAGAATGCTAATGCTCCAGGCTAAGGTACTGTAGATTTCCTCATTGCATGACTTTTGTTGCATGAGATGTGTGTAATTTGCATTTGCTTAAGTAGATTTTAGCAAGCTTTATCAATAGATCTCTTCTAAGATCTGTGATCAAATCGTTTATTTCACTTGTTTTTTTAAATAAGACAATGTTTGTCTTATTTCTGCCCATAGTCAACACTTTGCATCAAGGTCTTGTAAAAGTTTTAAGGATGTTTGCACCCTCGGACAGATCAATGCACTCGCTGCCTGATCAGCATTTCAAATAAAGGAGTGGCAGGCTAAATGCTTTACAGAGTTAAAGTGGTGTTTTTTTAATGGTGAAAAAATAGCAACCAACAAACTCCAAAAGGCCACGTTATAGATTGTATTTGTTTTGTCTTAAAAAAAGTTTTGTCCAAGAGAGGCTTGTCATCCCCTGCTAAGCCCTCATACATGAGGCACAGACCAACAAAATAACTCCCTGAGAAGGAAACCTGTGCAGCAGCTCTGAGAGAGGCAGACAAATAGGGCTGCTCGATTATGGCAAAAATCATAATCTCGATTATTTGAGTCAATAATTGTAATTGCGATTATTAAATGCGATTATTCATTGACTTTGAAAATATCCATTTATTGGAGAATTTTTTTTGAACAGTATGTTTTTAACAGTTGATTACCCTGAACTTTAAGTATAATTCAACTGAAAACCCCCAAAAAAATAATAATAAAAAAATAATCATTTTATTTCGATTACGTTGTTTTCGTAATCGTTGCAAGCCATAATCGTAATCGCGATTAAAATACGATTAATTGAGCAGCCCTAGCAGACATGTCCACCTTGTAGCTCATTTGAAGGGACAAGGACAGGCAACATTGCCATTGGAGCAATCAGAGTGACTGGCTGAAGCTAGTCAGGTTCCCAGCACTACGTCTTCCTACGTCAATTAGACTTATGCTGTTATGCTATGTTGAGGAAATCAAGAATGTTGTGCACCATGAGGAGAGTGAGACCTCCTAGCGCCGTGTTGGTTTAGGCTGGAGTATTTGCTTTGTCTGATCTCACTGTGAACAGGAAACAGCAAACCATTCCACACTGAGCTGAGAGTAATCAGGGAGGCATCTGCACATTTGGTAATAAGGGAAAATTGTGACAAAACAGATGTTGCGAAAGCAGTTCCTATACGGCTTACAGCAGTTTGTTGCCATCTAGTACAGTATGTGGTTGCATTAACCACAGATCATTGTTGTAGGTGTTCTTATAAATAACATTTGTGGGCAGCGAGGGTATCGATATGTCTGAGAGTGCTGAAGAGTGCTGACCCAATGCTTTTTTGAAGGCCTATCTATATATAACTTTTATTTGATTCATTAATTTGCTTTCTCCTTCACCACGCAGGAGGACTTTGCAGGCTATGACTTTGAGAACAGGCTCCATGTCCGTATTCATTCAGCTCTCGCCTCCATGACGGCTGCTGCAGCCCAGCCTTGACATTTTATCCACACCTCAGAAAGAACTGGACGAAATGTCTTTTAAAAAGCCACAATACCTTTGGAATCACTAATGTTATACTGTCAGGATTTATTTATTTTAATCTGTATATTTCCATATTCTGAGCCAATGCATACTTTTAAAGTGTGCAATATACTGTATACAGTAGGCGTTATAGGAGAACAGTCAAAAGGTATATTATTCATGTTACCGTTTTTTGTACATGTGCAAATCGAATCAGATGACAATCTTTAAATACAATTGTGAAAAGCATCAGGCATTGATCCACAGAGGGACTACTTTTCCTCTGATTAGGAGAAAAGTCAGGTTAAATAGAGCAATGGCACAAAGCGTTGACTGACAAAGCAATCAAATTAATGACTCAGCCACCTCAGTGTTGTTTGACAACGTGACATTTGTGATGTAAATGCTTTGCTAATCCATAGGCATGAGTACTAAATGATTTTTTAGCGTAGCCTCTTTTTTACCGGACTTGTTTTTATCAGTGTAAATATGTCTCGCACACAGGTTTTAATAGTTGTGCCAACATCATATGAGAGGCCTAGGTGCAGCGTGCTACTGTAGGCCATATAATGGTCTTTATTTATATTGTTTGTTTTAAGATAATAAAATACATATTGTAAAATGGATTATGGTCGTACCCTCTTCACTTGATTAATGCAACAAATAGAACTGATGGCAAACTTTATTTTTTTCATCAATTATAAACAAACAAATGAACAAGGTGTATCTGGTGCATTCATTAAATACTTTTAATGGGGTTGGTCTAACCTCAATGCTATAATTCCGATGCATAAAATATAAGAACGCCTAAAATGGAAACTAAAATAAATCTTAAGAAAGGGGCTAATTACTGCCAATGATTTTCAAACTTGTTTTTTTTTCTTTCAAATCCTTTAGGGGTCTGTGTGGTCCACACAGCAGCTTTGACCAAATCTTGAAAATCCTGGAGCTGGGCGTGTCTGACAGCTTGGGGATTTCGCGACCAACAACCAATCACATGAATATCACATGAATATCCTTCCCCCGACATGCAAAAAAAACCCGGTTCTTCTACACTATTGTCAAATAGGAAGGGCTATGATGAACATTTATTTTTTGAACATTTATGAGATTAATGTTTATGGTGCTATTTTATGCTACATTCCATGCTGGCTAATGATACTGTCTATGCTTGCTAGCAACGAAGTAAACTGGATATAAAATCCCCAAACAAGCGAAAACCTACCAGTTTCACCCACTGCCTCTGCCACCTCCCCCCATGCCTGGTTCCTCCGGTTTGTATCCCGGTAAGTAAATAGGGACTGGTCATAAAGAACCGGGTGATTTACTACCGCAATAACTAAGTTATCCTCCATTTTTGTGGAATATAGAAATTAACTGCGGATCTGGTTCTCCCAGCTTGCACGCGGTTTGATTGGCTAGCGCTTGAACTGTCAGATTTGCATAAACGGATCTGATTGGCTGTCGCTTCCAGCTCAGCCGCAAAGATAAATTGTGAAAGCATTAAGCATCATTTGGTTGTAAATCGCCAAGACAAATGTCATGACTGGTCGCCAGGGGCGTAATAAGTAGGATATGGCCCATGATAATAATAATAACTTTATTTGTATAGCACCTTTCATACAGGGGATTGCAGTTCAAAGTGCTTTACATCAGTAATGTCTGGTAGGCCAGACAGTGGGGTTGACATTACCTTGTAAAATGTCAATAACGCTTACTGTAGCAAGCATGAGAAGAATAGTACAAACCAAAAAAGTTCAATCAACAATAAGCTTTTATTTAGCAACAATAGAAATGATGTTCTGATACCCAAAAGAGCAATAACAGAAAAACACCTAGAACCTACAGTAGCTATCCACAACTTTAGAAAGGGAATATTCAGTGCTTGATTGTGAGGGTAAGGCTTGCATAGTTATAGTGATGCACATGCGTTTATTGTCATAGTTTCATTTTAAATAGATATAGCTAAATATTATCAACTATGGCAAGACTTTAACAAACACACACACGTTTCACAAGTGCAGAGCCAGCGTCCCTGCTTTAGTATAGTCAGAAAAAAGTGCTACTGTGTCCAGAGTCAGGTAGACTTATGTGCAACGCTTTTAGTCTCTATACACATCTATACATAGTTAAGGACTTAATGATATTATATTTAAACATTTATTTAATTGAAAAAGCTTTGTTGTTGTGGTAGTGGATATGATTCTTGTTGGATGTGGTGACAATTTCCTTGCTATTAAATTCACAGAGAAACGGTTAGACAGATCTACAACTGATTGCAGGACACCGAAAAACAATCTGTTAAATTAGTCAAATTACATGCACCATTAATTTAGCTACAAATTGAAAACATAGGGAATGTTTCCAAATTGCCTATTTGCAAACCTCATTGCACTATAGTATGCAAGCAGTGTCCGAGTTAAATAAACGCTTATCAGTGTGCTCAAAATGCATCATGCGATTCTGCACTGAAGGAAATTGTTTCCAATACCAGCAGGAGTTATCTACAAACAACAAAATGAAGGTTGCACTCCATCTATCTTAACATATAAATACATATTTCTAAAATACATTCTAGTTTTTCCAATACATGCCTCTACCATACTCAAGTGGACATGAACCACAATAAATAAGAAAATGTTGTTGTGCTTCATTGTTCACACATCGAAGAATGTCTCTGTGTTGCCTTCAGACTTTTGAAGCATATTGTTTAACCCTACCTGGTGTTCTGCAAGAACTCCATGATATTAAAGTGGTGCAGGGACGACGCATTTTTTTAGGCCGACCTGAAAGTTAGCACTGCATTAATCCCATAATAAGAAGTCAATAGGATTTGTCTATCAGGCTTTGGATTAGACTCTTAAATATCTCAGTGACAAACAAAAGGTTAAGGACACGTATTGTTCAGAAAGACAATCTTAACAACTTAAACCCACATCTATTTTTGAGGCATAAATTCAACCGCCAGGAGACCATAGCTAACGTAAGGCTATAAACAATCTACACAGTTGCATAGCTGAGGTCACCACCACGACGCTAAAGGCAGACTAGTGTTTGGCGTGATGCTGTTTAGTAGTTTAATTTAGCCACTTGTTAGCAACCACCTATTTAAAGACAGGTAAAAGCTTAAAGCCTGGTATTTATGTAGAGCAACAGAACAGTACAATATCTTAAACTAGTGTTAATCACCAACCTCCGTCATTTATATCAAAAGCAAGTCACCAAAAGCATATTAAAAAAAAAACATATTGACTTTGTCACAAAGGACCTGGAAATGTTAAAACTTTCAAAGCCAACTCATTTACGGATTTAAGGATTCATTCCTGCACCACTCTATAGTTGCATCACGAATGGAGCCCTTGCATGAACCCCAGTACAGCAGTTCAAGTTCAAAGATGGTAAAAGAAGACATCCGTTTGTATGCAATTTGTGTGTATTTTCTACATATTAGTAGATTTCAGGCAGATTAGTGTAGTTTCTCCCCCAGTAGCCTTTCGAGTAGAGCCAGTCCTGAGCTTTGGTGTGAGGGTTAGGTCCTTGTTGAAACCACCTGCAGAGTTTTAACAATGATAAACATCTATTAAATAAGAGTAAAGCACTTTGAGGTAGCAAATAGATTTAAAAGTCACAGACTAAATTAAAAACACACAAATATCACAACACTGCAAAAATTATACTAGTCCTCCTTGTTCAAACTAAATTCCAATGAAATGTATGAGAGTAATAACACACAGCTGTAGTTGCATATGTTATCCTGGGGAGGGTGGTGTAGTGCAGCACTTCACATAAACACAAAGCAAAAAGCCAAGCTTAAACCAAACCTTGGACCAAGTGCAGCGCTCCTTCTCAATTATTATACAGGGTTGGCATAATTGATAACACAAGACAACAGGGAGGAAATTAGTGTATAAAATAGCAATGGGGCAATGAGCGCACAACATCATATTTACTAACTAACCTGTTTTTCCATTCATCTGTTGATTTGGTGCGATTTTTCCGGGCCATTCTCTGTTTTTCCTCAAGTCTCTTCTTCTCTGCACTTGCCAAATCTATAAAAAAAAAGGCATAGATTTAGAAACATGAATACCACCAGGGAAGGTATTTAAGCAGATGTAGTAATATGGCCTCATTCTAGGTTATACAATGTACCTATATCTCCATTCTCCATGGCGCATATATCAGGTCTGAAGCGACTGTCTGTTTGGGGAATAACTCCCTCCATGCTCTTCTCCAACTCATTTAGGTGCATGGCGAAGGAAGAGAATGCATAGAACTGCAAGAGAGAATATATTACCACAACATTTCAACTGTCAGAGGATGTGCAGCAGCATACAGGATTTCCTCACATTTCCGGACTTTTCAATAGATTTTCTACTTTTATCTTTCGTTATGGAAACAATACTGTTTTTTCAAGACATGAAAATCACAAAACATCCAATTCAATACTTCATATAGGATTCCACATCATACAAAAGTCCTAACATTATAGTTTTACGATGTAAAGAAAGCCATACAAAAAAGTATAACAAAAAAGACTTCAAAAAGTCCAGTATGTAATAAAAAGGTCAAAAGTCAAATACTATTTTAAGTATTATTTATCACAAAAAAGTCATAAGTCGGAGTATAGTGTTGTTGTCCTGTCTCCGGTACCTTGGCAGAGTTGTCTGGCCGTGGCGTTATCTTCCAGATGAGCTCGCTGCCAGGGATCACCGTCACCGTCTCAGCGTCAGGTGGAGGAACCTCCTCCGGCTCCTCGTCCACACTGCTCTGGGGTAACAGAGATACACAGACATACGTTTTACCCAGAACAAGAGGCAGAAAACAGTAGACTTTTAAAGCAATACAATGCAATACCTGTTTATTCCCCTTCTTCTCATCCAGATTCTTTTTGTCACTCTTTTTGTGGGCATCAAAGGCAGCGGGATCTACTGTGTAAAGGCAATCAGTCCATTTGCCATATATTGCACAGAGCTTCTTTTTGCTGCAAACGTACGAAGAACAAATGCTATAAAAACACAGCTTTGGATGCCTTTGATATTTGACATGTAGTTCAGTGTAACTGTTCTGAAAGCTTGAGGAGTAAAACTGATATGACAAACTGATTAAATCACATAAGACACAACTGTCATATTCACGTTGCTTTCAGGCAATACTAAACATCAGAAATTCAAAAAGGTAATTACAAATAAGGAAGATACCTTTTATCCAAGATGAATCCCTCCACTTTATGTAGCTCTTTCCCAAAGAGGCCACAGGGTTTGAACATCATGCTGCATCTCTCTCCGGTCCTGCCACAGAATGACAGACTGTTTACCAATTCTCTTTCACTTTTCTCCTTCTGCGCGCTGAGGCTCTCAAACTTTAATTATCCTGCTCCTCTATTCTGATGGCAAGTGTCCCAGTTCTGCTTCTATGATCAATAAGCTGAATCTCAAAGTAGACCAACACCCCACTGTAGAGCGCAGACTAGAGAAGAATATGCTCATGCACCCCGGTCTCTGTGCATGCAAATTCACCAGGCGAGAACGCATTTGCAGACAAAAGGAGAAGCACAAAGAGAAGGGAATCATTCTTACTTGTGATTTATCACTTCCACACTGCCATACTGCTCAATCCAAAGCTGACCGACAATGATGTTATGGACACAGCAGGTGGGGTTTGTCCAGGTGTAGCTTTCATTATATCTGCAAAAAAGGTAAAGATGAAACTCATTCAAAAAG